GTAAAGATCCATTGTCACACCTTAAAATGACGCTGCTAATCTTTTAAAATAAAAATTTAACTACTCCCAAAGACTCCATTGTCCAACTTGCCAGGCCTCAACCTTTAATTATAAAACAATCTACATGGTGAGGTTGGACATTTTACTCCTCCCTTTTAGGTTCGGTTATTGTTCTGCTGTGGCTTTGTCAACATGGCTGTTTATCACTAAAAACCTGGGACTCCCACAATCCTTAAGTATTCATTCGTCCCTAAACTGGTGTGAAGGACTGGAGGTGGAACCTGTAGTCAGCTGACATCGATACGGAGACAACTTGAACAGGACACATTAAGAGTTATTTTAAGCAGTAACCTCTCTCACTTCCAAATTAATTTGAAAAGACATTTCTTGAAGATGGATCATCTTATTTTTTACCTAGAGTCTTTCAACCACGTTGCATTTTTGCAGCAACACAACCACTGGAAACACAACTGTATGTTTTTTCTACCAGCTATTTTCTCATACATTTTCATGAAACTTTCAGAATTATATTTTTCTTATAAAGGAATAAGGCTGGTCACTCATTAGCAGCATTAACGTAAAAGTGATATCTTAAAAACGCTTTTAATTCTGAGGTGAACGTACTGACCTGGAGTGAAGAAGAGTGAGATCAGCGTCAGACTGAGCAGCATTTTCTTCACCACTGTTACTTTCTGTTCTGTTGTTCATCAGCTGATCCTCCACTGTCTGCTGTCAAACACGTTGTGCGGCTGTTTTTGTTTGATTTGACTGCAGTGGTTCCACCCACACCAGGGCAGATGAAGAAAGTGTGCCATGTAGTTTTGGCATGTGCACGTGTGCATGTGTGAGAGAAACATTCCTGGGTACTCCAGTGGTTTCACAGATACTTGATGTGTATTTATCTACTGTCACATTAACACAGTGCAGCCTGTAAGCTGTAACAGTCTGTGACGTTGTAGACCTAGGCAACAGTTACAGATGTGTTACGACTGACTGACGGCTCCACCTGTGCTGCAGGACTGATCTGAGAAGAGTTGGTTTTACTCTGAAGTCTGCAGTTTCCCCTGCAGCAGTATTTTTTTATAGATGTAAATTCAATTCAAATGTACCTTTCAGTGATATCTGTTGTGCAAAATCTGTCTACTGTCAACAGAGGAATGTACTGTAACACACCCAGTACACACCTAGCAACACATCTATATACGCAGTAACACGTGTAAAACATGTCCCTAACAGAAACCAAGTGCATAAAGGAGCAGAGATGTCTGCTGAACAAAGTGATAATAACCAACACTGGCATCGTTCCATCACAGCTGCTGTCCATTTACCAAAATGCAATGAAATAAAAATACTGCCAAAAGTGCTGAGGCTTTTAAAGGGCAGTTTACACTTATCTAAAGTCATCATAAATGAAAACTGCTTGTACTAGGCAATAGCAATGAAATGAAAATTGCGACTGGCACCAAGTGTGCAAAAAAGATGATAAATAGAATAAAAATAAGAAAAACAATTGGCAGTGCAATATAAATACTAGTAATATTAGAAAAAAGAGAAACACTATACAGTTTACAGTATATTTGTGTTATATGGGGGTTCAGAGTTCAAAAAAAGTCCAGGCCTGAGCGAGAGCTTTAATTGTTTATTTTTTTTCCTGAATAAAACATTTAAAAAGTTAACTTGAGCTCACAATAAATAAATGAATAGTGCAATAGTATAAGTTACCATGTGAATGCTAGAAAAATGCTAACATTAATGTTATTTGTGTTGTTATTGTCATTAAATAGTACTGTTTTACCCCTGACCTTTCTCCTACTCCGCATTTCTGGTTAAATCTTACTGTAAATACTTTTAAATGTGCCCAGCCGAACTAACTGCTGTACCTTACCAAACCTTGGTAAGACACAGCAGGCATTTCTTTCTAGCTTTAAGTTATAAATAGACTAACATGTACTTTTAACTAGCAGCTTTATGCTATATTTGTGAATAATCGTGTTATGGCTAGCTGTAGCTTCACTCTTATCTGTTTAACAATACCCTGCAGTTATTTTACTGCAGTTAATCTTCCGCTAGTAATATATGAAACCTTTGATTGTTAAAGGTTATAGTTAACCCTTAAATGGTAAAGACGTGAGCACTGAAGCCTAGCTGGATATTTTAAATATACATTTTTTTAAAGACATTCAAGTTTGCATAATGTAAATTTCAAGGTATTTTTAAGACTTATTTTTAAAGTCCCAGCTGAATCCTGGCCACAGACCTGTGATAAAAACATCACAATGTCTCATTTTTATCTGTAGCTCATGGCTTATCAACACATTTATCTGTAGCTCGTGGCTTATCAACAGGTGCAACATTTAAACTTGTTCCACAAACATTCCATTCAAATGACGTGTTTGTGTGTTTTTTGATGATGTGTTTTTTGATGAAGTTCAAATATTCAAACTCATATTTACATTTTTATATGTGCAATGCATTTGCAATTACACCAATATAAGATGTTGTTCCAGTCTCACTGAAATACTGAATTGAGCAGATATCTGTACATATATATATAAAAAGTTTAAAATCATTCACTGGGATCAGTATGGTAATGCTGACGATGTAGACGATGGTTCTCACTTCTTTTTTTCTTACAGTGTACAGAAGACAATCATAGTTGTGCATAACGGGCAATAATAAGTGCATTACAGAGAAAACCTGCAGACAAACACCTTATGTTCATCTCGTCAGTGATCTTCACTTGTTGCCTCAGTTAAAGTAGAATCATCAATGTCAAGCAAAAAAGCAGCAGCAGCCGACAGCCTGTAACAGCGTCAGTCACTTTAAGTTGGACTGTGGCCGCGTCTCCTCTCCGTCTGTTTTTCAGACGTGGGTCGCATCGTGGTCATATCTGAAAATGAACAGACGTGTTTTCTCCTCATTGAGTCTTCAGTTTCTTGCTGTGAGTCACAGAGTCTCGTCTGTTGGAGTTATGGGCGAAACACCTGTAAGAAAAATATAAGAAATGTTACTGTACCCTGCAGTATGAGAGTTTAGAAACAGCCTAAAGTCAGAGAAAAGCTATGACAGAAATGTAATACATAATAGCAACAGTTAAAGAACAAATGGATGACAAAAATATCTAATGGCATTATTGTGTTGTAAAAGAATATTCTAAAAATACTTTAGAGCTAATCATTAACCAAACTGTGACAAAAAGGTTAAGTGTTATTTAACCTGATTAGAACTACAACAACAAAGGAGAGGAGCTAATCACTGTGACAAAAAGGTTAAGTGTTATTTCTTAAATCTTAGCAAATAAAGCTAAATGCTACTCTAGACGTAGCTAAACATTATCGGAAATAAAATGTAAAATAAACCAAAATATTGTTTGATAGAAATACCCTGGAAGTGATCAGGACAGCATACCAAGTCTGTGTTAATAATTGTTCTTTAGTTTCAAATATAAAAATATCAAATTAAAAAATGTATAAAAAGAGTTTTAATTCAGTTTAGAAATCCCACCTTCTCTGGTAAAGGTAAATGATGAAGAGGAGCTCATCCCTGAAGCAGGAAAGTTGATGAGAGGAGGAGAAGGATCCAGGGGAGAAAAGGGAGCCACAGAAGCACAGATCTGAGATCAGTGTGTTCACCCCCTGGTGGAGGAAAGAGAGAAAAGAATACAGAAAAGACTATGAAAAAAAACACCATGAAAGAAAGAGCGTGGACAATTATGAAAGAGAGAGAAAAAATGATTGCACCCACCCTGTACATCAACACTGCCCCCTGCAGGTGGCTTACAGTCTTCAACTGTGGTAGGCAACAGGAAGCAAATTTACAAACGGTTTAATTAGATCATGAGTTACTGTACTATATACTATATACTGTAAATATAAACATCATGAGTTACTGTACTATATACTATAGTAGTAGTAGTAGTAGTCTGAGTGTCTTTAGTTTTTCTGTAGAACAAACCTTGTGGTTAATGAAGAGTTGAGGGAACATAGACAGAAAGCCAAAGGCATAAACACCTACAGAGGAGATTTTAGGTCACAACATATCACATTAAAAATATAAATAAATTGTTTTATTTTGACTTTTCTCAGATGTAAATAATGTCATGTGGATCCGTACCTGTTACCAGGCTGTTGATCAACCAGGAAAAATAACTACAAACACAATGAAATTTACAAATGAAAACATTGTTGGTTAACTTTCCACTAAATGTTGTATTCATGCTAAATTATCAGTTAAAATGCACTTCAGAGGAAAATGCTCACCTCTTTTGACGTAAATAGCCCAGGGAGAAGATAGCCCCACTGATGCACAAAGGATAAACCAGGTAGGACAAATATCTGGAGGCCTGGAGACCAAACCAGAGAAAGTCAGGAAAAGTTGAGGAGAAAAGAAAAAAAAACTGTAAGTTGTCAAAGGCAAAAGAGAACCAAAGAGATACCTGTGCATCATACTCCACTGTCTTCCTCTCCTCCTCATCCAGTCTCTTTACCTAAACATACACAGAGGAGTCAGTCTGTACTGTAACTACACACTAAGTACACAGATGACGAGGCTGATGAATATTACTGATACTCACAGGAAACTTGGAACTTTTCAACTGCAACTGAATCTTGAACACCTTACACACCTTCCAAACCTGAACAAACAACACAGGTTGATACTTGAAACTTGAGTGCATTTTAAAGTGTAACATCAGGTAAAACTGACCATTTAAAAAATCTAATACCTCCACAAATGCCCCCAGTCCTACAGGAAGCAGCACCAACAGACTGGTCTCCTCCAGCAGATGGAGGAAAATCAGCAAGGTGCTGAGGCTACGCCAGAGAACTGAAGAACAGAGTCAATTATTATCAACCTAACATTATTAGGTGTTACAGATCAACTTCAACAAAGAGTTCACATTGTGTGTTTCAACAGAGTTTCTCACCTGATTTCCTGGATATTCCTGCCATGTTACTCTTTTCTCTCCATGAGCTGATGTCATTTTTAAGAGCCAGGAATTCACAGATGAGCTGAACAAGACCATCAACACAGTCAAACACTCTGTGCCACAAGTACAAAAAGAGTGGCGAACGGATATTGAAAGACTTTGTTTTGTATGGGTTAATCAGAACAGGTCAGTGATACAGTATGAAACATAACGAAAGAAAGAACTTCTCCCCTGGCCGTGAACTGTGTTTTATATGGTATAATATAAACTTACTTGCAGAGCTGTGATGACAGCAGTCAGCACTAACAGGTAGAGATTTGATCCAACCAGAGTTTCTTTAATTTCATCAATGTTTTCTTCAGTAAAGCCTAAAAAAAGTGTTTGTAGGGTTACTGTAAATTTAACAAGTAAAATCATGTCATGTTATATATAGATAAATGTTGGTAATATGTATATTATATTTGTAGAAAGACATTAACTCTTAAACCTTAATTCTTAAAAATCCCAGTAAAGCCTTAAATAAATTATCCGTTGTTGCCAACTCACCAAACTGCCGTAGAGAATAAACCACATCCTGCAGATGGACCCAAAACCTGAATGTTCTCAGAGATATGCCTTCGTAGGACACAGTCAGAGGAAGGTGGGCGGTGCTGCTGCTGATCTCCTGTTGATGGATTCATGGTCAGATACACGCAACAAACAAAATAGACTCAAATCTAAAAAGAAAAATCTGAATATTATTGTTTGCCTCCTAAAAATGTCACATATTACAGATTCCAACCATGAGGTCTTTGACTCTGAGACTGAAATCATTGACCAGGAGCAGAGGAAGGTAGATCATCTGATGGCCTTCCTGAGATCTGAGGAGACACAGAGAAGGAGGAGGAGTCAGAATACTGTCAAATACTTTAGTCCATGTAGCTCTCAGTGGTTTTACTAGCATTTTGTTAAAGTGAAGGTTGAGCCCCCCAGCCCCACCCTTCCTTCCCTCAGAGACTCACACTCTCATGTATCGACGCACATCACTAGGAAGTCCCGCCTTGTTGAAGGTAAAGCCCTCTGACATCAGAGTAACTGACAGGTGAGGTCTCCAGTGGGACACAGGATCATCTGACCTGGGATTTGACCTCTGTAAGAGCAAAACAAGCAATGTGTTTGCATGGATATGTTGGCAACATTTCTGAATGACTATTTCTTTAAATTCTTTTTAGCTTTGGTCAATTTTATTCCATAGTAGAATTAAACAAAGTTATACTTTTAGTGTTGTTTGCCGACTCCTGCTGTAGACCATAACAAATGGTAAATAAATCAGAAAAAAGACCATTATACCTTCTGTACATCTCTGTGTCCTTCTGAGGACGTTGGTTTGACGTAGGCGGTGAGCTGAGTGGTGTAGTGAACTTCTCTCCTGTCCTCCAGAGGTGAAACACCAGCTTTATGGACGTAAACCACTGCAAACAGAGTGCCATTGTCTCGAGTCTCCGCCGGCAGATCGACATTCACCGTCCTGTAGGAAGGTCAACTTTAAGGATCATAGTTTTGCGGTTGAAAGAACAAACTTTTCATTCTGTGCACATATCAGACTGACTAGTAAACTGAGTCGTAATAATAAATATATTTTTTTAAAAATTCAACAATAATTTAAGGAGTGATCTAAACAACACACATAAAACAAAGGCTCACAGCTACAGTAAAGCTTCGATAATAATGGACAAAATTAACTTGTCTTTATGTGAACATATTTCTCTGTAGCAAAATCAACATCTTACACCATGCACAGCCAGAAAACAGCTTATTATTGCTCTGATATCCACGTGTCAAACCCACCTTTCAAATGCAGAATGTGGGTCAAATGAGTCTATTTTCAGAGCGAGGTTTAATGGACTGTTGTCTGGCATCAGGCAAGTGTAGACACTCAGCTGAAAATGAGTGAAAGAATCAGAGGTGAATGACAACAAAACACTATACAATAACACTATACATATGCTTTAAAATAGACACCTTTAATGGAAGTACTTGTAATTTTTTGTTGATAATGAAGTTTTTTAACTTTTACACAATACGAGGCTCCAGAATACATAACGTATTACTCTAAAAACACAAAAGAAAGTGTGTGTATCCACATGTTGTAAAGTGTATAAAAGTGAACACTATTAAAGTCCTATCGCTGACCTGCAGTCTGGGTCTCACAGAAAGGTAAGAGTTGATGCAGCTCTCTCCTCTGGTTTTATCACAGGTTTTAGTATAGATAAATCCATACAGCAGCCAGCCAGTGTGCAGCATGTAGACCACAAACACGCCGAACAGCAGCTTAGTTAGCGAGCTCTTCTTACCACCACCGCTGTTGTCCGTACAGCTTTTGGCGTAACACGAGGGAAACATGATATTAATGTATATGTATCCTAATGGAGATCTAAATCGGTTAGTGTTGGATGCAGCCTATAATTCAGTGTCAAACAATTGCTTCCTCCTCGAGCATCCTCCCTGACATGCGCTGTGTTCAGTCGCTGGTGCTGATGCTGAGACTGTTTGAGTCTAATCTCGCGATATCGCAAGTACCGCTGGTGTATTAGCCTAAAACAAAAGCTTTTGGATTTATTTTATCTAATAACCTGAATATTTGTGCATCGTTTGTAAAAAAACAAAATCCATCACATCGTTTGATGATATAAAGAACATACATAATCACTCAAACACCACACGTTCAAATTACAGTAAATCGAGTGATGCTTGGTAAGCTGATGTTAAAATCTCAATTTATTCTAAAAATCTCAGTTCACTTCATTTGTCATTAAAATGCACGAGTACTTTCGCTATATATGAAGATCTCATTATAATAATATTGTGTAATACGTTGTGAACTAATAACTTGCAAAAATGGTAACGTGATAACAGTAAACAATCTGTACGCTATCTAGCTAATGGTGTATAAAAACGACAGGGAATGTTTTATTTGATTTTCGTTTAAAAATAAACGACAAAAAGTTACGTGTCATCTTACGTACAGTAAGCGGTTATGAGTAGTTTTGCTTTGACATCTGGATGTTACAAGTTTAAACTTTATCTCAAATATAACCATAAGGACTTCACAGTTTTATTTATTTATTTATTGTTATTTGGTTTAATTTAGAGGTATTGCAATTCAAATGAGAAAATATAATGTAATGTAAATCAAATAGTGTACGTCTAACATACAAATGCCGAATTCCTTTGTTGAGTGAGTAGTCGTCTTTGTAAAGACGATCTTTGAATATTAGTCCTTGTGCCCGCTTTGCATCATGGGTAAATGCGCTGACCCCCACTTCACCGTGCTAACCCGGCAAGTTACACTTTAAGGCTAAAATTACAGTGCGTGTTTGTATAGCACGTCGTAAATGTAGCGACATGTTAATTGTACATCATTTTTATGTCTCGTTTAACTGTCATTGTGGATTTTCTGTTATGAAACACTTAGTTGTCCCTGAGCGCTTCAGCTAAAGGTGGCTGTTAAACTTCACTCTTGAGTTCAACGAGGAAGAGAATGTCACGTCTACTTGTTCTACTACTGTATGTTTTTATAGCGGCCGAAGTCTTGTCTTTTTCTGCTGCATGTGAGAATCCTCGCCCGGTCGCTTGGAGAAGCACTTAGGAAGAACAAATGAAAAGTCTGGAGGATTTTGGAACAAACACAGCTCCTCGGGTTTGACCTGGTTGAAGTTATTTCCAGAGCTTAGTGACAGCTCCGTAGGACATGAAACTGCACAAAGTACTGCTTTCTGGCTGTGTGAACTGTACCATCATGTACCAGTCCTTCGGTAGAAACATTTATTCAAAGCATCGCATTACTTTTGCGAGGGCATTTTCCTCAAGACAGGATGCGGCTCAGACCCCCATCATTTGGAGAACTGCCACATTGCTCAGCTCACCAATGTACACCGTGCCGCTCGGTAATAGAAAACCGATGTCACACGGTAGAAACTGCATAGACATTTGGACGAGGCATCAACTGAGAAAACCTCTGTCTGCATCCGTGAGTAAGGATAATCTGCTGCCAGGAGGTTCAGCATGGCCTGGTAAGTCTTTATTTATAATCACAGGTAATAAAATTAACTAATTTAATCCTGGTTTTAGGGGGCAGTGATATCTGAGGTGCACTGAGCACGGCACCGTCCCCACACGCTGCTCTTCGGTGCTAATATATATATTTTTTATTTATAATATAAATATATATATATATATAAAACATGTGGTAATGTCTTTTTATCTTAAATGTTTTTTTTGTACAGGGTCTTTCATGCGCAGTAATGTAACTGAAGCCCCGATCTCCAGTGTGCCTCCAACTTTTGTAGTGGTAAGAAGTTTACAGAAAATCTGATTTTTAAGTAAAACTACTGTATTACAGAGTGTAACACTACATTTTACATTTTATAACAACACATTTTTTAAACTATATTTATTAGATGCAAATAAAAAACGTGTCCCTTTCAACAGATGAAGTTTGACCAAGAGGGGAACGTAACAACATTTGGTAAGTGCTTAAAATGTTTACAGTTATTTATACCTGAATATATTTATTACTATGTATTTTCAGTTTTTTTTTCATTTAATTTATTTAACATATGTGTCAGGAATTGTATTCTATGTATTCCAAGTGCTTGAATTTGACCATGATAAAAGTGAAAGAAAAAGAAGTATTATATTCAATAATTTATACTAAAAATTTAATAAATTCAATCAAGTTCGAATCAAGTTCTTTGCACTTGTTTCAACTATTTGTTAATTATAATTAATTAAATATTACGTATTTAAAATGGTACTGAAAGAATGTTTAATACATTGGGTCATCTGCTTCTGCTTTTCTCACTACCTTTTTTGACTTTATTGTGTCCAGAGAAGAAGAAAACAGAGCTTTACCAGGAGTTAAGTCTTCATGCAAGAGACCTTCGCTTCCAGCACAGCATCAGCCTCACCGCAAGAAACAACTGCATTATTCTAAGGATGACGGTATGCTGTTTTTTTCTCTTTTTTTGGTCTCCAATCACACTGTTTCACATGGAATATTGTCTCTGAATTAAATTCAGGAGTAATCTGTGGTAGTCTTTGTGTAGTTTAGTCGAGTCTGTTGAGCTTCAAACTAATTTTAGGCTACTGCTATTACCTAAGGTAACAGCTCATTGAGCCAAATAATAGAAAACAAAAACAGCCTTAAGTCGCCAGTCATTTTATTTTTCAGTTTCTCACAGAATAAACTATAATCATAAATTCCATCATAAACAGATAAAAAGAGACAATGACAGTATAGACACCTTTCACAGTCCTCTGGGACATTCTTTAGATCGTGCTACAGTTGTCTGCCCCCCTGATGATGAGGGTGCGGTGTAGTAGAAAGAGCAATCATTTTCATCCCTCATTTTACAAATTTTTGCACCATTTTCTGTTTTGAGCAGTTCCTCTGTAGTTTCCACCATTTCCACACTGATGTGGCCACAGTCCTGATCACAACTGAGGCAGAGAGAAGAACAAAAAAGCAAGATTATTATGAATGCTTAAAATATGTGGAAAATTGCTTATGACAGTTTGTTGTTAAATTTTTACATAAACATTTTACCAACAAACTTAAAATTGAAAGCACAGAAATGTGAGGCAAATCATTGTAATATTTTTGGAGTATATGTTGTTTCGATTAGTGTGAATTGTTAGTAACATTTAATAACATTTATTATATGTAAATATCAACATCGAAAGTGTTTAGAAAATTCCCAAACTTGACCTCGTGAACCCTTTATTACAAACAAATGCTTATACAACATATTAATACAATTAGTTTACTTTCAATCTGCAGTTTGAAAAGTAATTTCTGTTCCTCTCAATTTATAATTTATCCACCGCGTCTTTTCTCACCTGTCTTTTTTTGTTCCCATTCCAAAAGCTCGACACTGCACACACTCCATGTGCTGCATACATGTGTCCTGACAGGTCGGGCAACTCTCACAGGTCGGGTCGGCATATGGTGGCATACATACACAAGTTCCACACTGACACATGCCTCTGTCGTTGCACACCTTCTGGTTTGTTGCCATACATGAGTTTACATCCATGGAGCAACTACAGTCCTCACCCGTCCAGCCCTCGTCACATAAACATTCACCACAGGTGCACAACCCATGTCCTGCACATATCCTGTTTAATGTAAAAAAATGCTTTGAATTGAAATCTCCTTATCTATTTTAGAACATGCAAAACAAGAAAAGTACTTCAGAATAAGCCATACTTGTTGTTGGATCTTTCACAGTCAAAGTTGCTACACTCGCAGTATCGTCCAGAGTAAATTTCTGCAGGATTAATTCGCCTCTCGCATTCACAGAAACCCTCCACACACAGCCCCCTGCCACTGCACACCAGGGCGTCAGGGTCTGAGCGACAGTAGTCTTCATTGGGTGAAACAAGTGAACCAGACTCCCTCTGACACTCTTTGCCACTAAAGGAGTTGTAGCAGTCACACCGGCCACACATCAGAGCTCCACGACCGCTGCAGGCTGCACTGTTTTCCTCACGTATTCCAACACAACCACACTGACCTGTGGGGAACATTTAACCCTATCAATTTTTTTTTTTTTTTTACCATTTCTCTGATTTTTGTCACACTCTTATACATCAATTATTTGACCTATTGCCATTTAAATCTGCCTGGATGGTTTAGTAACTGTAACACAGTTCTTTGGAAGCACTTACATTCAAAAGTTATTTCCAATGTCGTACTCATTGAAAACCCTTTTGGAGTGATGGAGACAGACCATGGTCCCATTTCATCATCACTGGGACAACGCGCAGCCTCCACATACACCTAGGAAATGGGCTGATTTTTTATAAGGACAAAAATATGACAAACTTCACTTCAAAAATGCTTCTAAGGTTTGAACAATTCAAAGGTCATAGAGACCTGAACTTGTGCTGGGGGTCCAGTTTTAGTAGCCATGAAGGTGATGTTGAGTCCTCCTGGTACGTTGCTGGTATCTGCACTTAGTTCTGGCACAGGCTGACCTTTTTGTACAGTGACCATCAGAGGGAATGACATCTTTACACCAGGTCTTAGACGAAGGTACAATTTTTCTGGCTGGAGGGCAGAGACCACATCCGCTGGCCCTCTTCTTGGTTATATAGGAATAAAACCAGAGACTTTAGCTAAAATGTTCTACTATAAATGGCATAAAAGGTAATTATTGTTCCTTTTTAGTTTTTTCTAATCTGTGAATGGTTGGAGATGTACAACTCTGTACCTACCTACTGTGTTCAACCTTCACCTCCCCCTGAGGGCTGTATATGTGACTTTTACGACATCCTGCCCTCCTCAGCCCCCTTGAGGTTTGACACCGACTGCTTAATCCAGGAGCTGTGCACCAGGCACATTCAGGGCTGGACTGGATGCACTGGTCACAGCTGGACGCAGAAGCGAGACATGGTTGTTTTTTGGCCCAGATGGGGCCCAGAAGAGCCAGCAGGAGACAGAGACAGAGCAGCTTTATGGCCATCCTGTAGAAACAGGAAAATAGCATGGAGCCATTTCTTATAAATGAAAAAAAGATGCTACATTACAATTAAATTGTATGTAAAAACAAGACCTAATAGTCACAGTCAAGAAACATATTTTTCTGGTTGTGTAACTGCACACACAACTCTGAATGTATTTCTCTATTAATTCTCTGTGAATACTAAAAAAAAAGACATCTGCTTTAGTGTGCAGCTATTTTCATAGTTGGCTCATTAATATTTATCAGTCATTGGGCTGGTCATTTGGATTAAATGGACCAAAATGTTAAATCTGAGTTTTTGGAACTTGTAAAAAAAAAAAGTCTCAAAATAACGTTACAAAACAAACTTAAAATCTCTGGTAAACTTTGTTGACTGATTGATTTTCATAGGTCAATCCTCAAATAGTCGACGAAACATCCTGGCCCCAAAACAAATAAACAAATGTATATTATTGACCAGTTGGTCCAGTACAAAGGAAGGAAACTGGGTCTTTAAATATTTGGATTAAAAACTAGCAGTGATGTGAGTTTATTACCTCAAGTGTTGAAATATTTCCGTGTTGTCTCTCTGTTAGGACGATGTTTTTCTCTGCTGAATCTGACCCACTCACAACCATCCAGTGGCCTTGTACAAATGACAGTAGATGCTTTGGGAGATCACTGATTAAAGTAGCAGTGTGTCAGCAGGCTTGATTACACAAGCAGGGGATCACATGGAGCAGGTTGTTCACTGCAAATATTTGCAGACCAGAGTCAACGGTGGGGCCTGTTGTCTTTGAAATGTAAATACTCAAGATACAAGCAGAGAACCCTGAACAACAGCTCATATCCATTCTCTGCAACATCCTACAGTCTTATGAAACAATGTGTAATTTGCTGAAATGACATGTCGTTTTTAGTGTCAGTTTCCTTGTGGTGCTTTAACTTTTTCCTAATTTCTTTCTGTCTCTTGTCTTTCCACAGTCTCTGAAAGCCATTGTAACCCCAGAGTCACTTTTAGTGTTGGACTTTCGTAGCCTAGGATTGGAACGCTGGCTGGTCCTGGACCTGGCCCCTCAGCTGGCTTCACAGACAAACTCTCTGCCCTTTGAGTTCAGAGCACTGGAGGCCATACTGCAGCACAAGGTGAGACAGAGGTGATGAGACACTGTCATGTTGTGTAGAAGAGTGAAAAGCTGTCTGCATTCTCAGGTCAGGTGTGTGTGTCATTGCTGACAGGTCAACACTTTACAAACCAGACTGAATGAACTGAAACCTATCATTTTGGATTTGTTGGAATCATTGGTGGATCCTAAAACCCATTCTGCTGACAGAAGTAAACTTCACATTCTTCTACAGAACAGTAAGAGGTAAAGCAATTGCCCACACAGCCACTTAACATTATTAGCAAATATCAATTGTTGTCTCCAAAACCAAAAAATACATTGTCCTCAAAAAGATGAAATATGCAGTGATTTTTCTGAAATAAACCATTAAAGGAAAGTAGACAGAATGTTCCTTTTATTTGCCTGTGGTAGGAACAGAGTCATTTCTTGTCATTTTGTTGCCCTAGGTGAGATAATGGTTTGGCGCTACATAATCATTTTATTTTTATTAAGCAGTTACTGTATCAATCCCTCCAACAGATGGCGCCATTAGCATAACACCTATTTATCCGATTCTATCAGCAGGCTCTGCTCAGGGGATGCTAAAATATTTTTGTAAAAACACAGCGGAGAAGCTCTTAGAGTAGAGAAGCTGGGAGCAGTTGTTCATAAAACAGTAAGTACATGATAAATACTGTGCAACAAACAGCAGATTGGTCATTAATGGAAAAAAACTCTGTTATAAACTGTTATATTCAATAAAAATGATAAATAAAAAAAAATCTTGTTTTTTAAATCTATGGTGTCGCAAAGAAATTCACTATGCTTTACTATCAAAAATAATAAAATGAATTATGATGACACCGGTTTTCATCCTAAAATAAGTCCATAAGAAAACTAAAGAAAATAGTAGTGTTTTCAATTTCTTCAAATAAATCTGTACTTCTTCTTCACAATTTAAAAATATCAAATCTGATTGTGAAGAACACATTTTCTCTTTCAGTTTATCAGAGCTGGAAACGGACATAAAAGTTTTTAAGGATTCTTTGCTGAAGATCTTGGATGAAGACGAGATGATTGAGGAGTTCTGTCTGACCAAGTGGACGGATCCGAGAGTGTTGTACGTCTCACATTCACTCATATACACAGCATTCGGATACGACTTACTTTAATGAAGTGTAAAAAATCTGTAGTTATCAATTATTAGTTTGTCAACAAAAAAACAGACTTATATTTGATATTTAACATTAATGGCTGTGTGTCTGTGTTTGTAGTGAGGAGAGCAGTCTGGGCATAGACCATGTTGAGGAGATGGAACTTCTGCTGGATAATTTCTATATGCAGGTTGTACAACATCACACATGATATCTGTTGAAGTTTAGCTGTGAATTTATAGACCTTTCTTTCACCGATTTGTCGATGCCTATGTTCTGTCCTTAATCACTGTTCGTTTGTATGAAAGTGTTTTAAGTCTTCACCAAACATGGAACAGTGAGATTGTGTTGATTTTCTCCCTCCAGACTGAGGATCTGGGGAACAAGACCAGAGAGTTAAAGGAACTGATAGATGACTCTGAGAACATAATTTTTATTAACCTGGACAGGTATACACACAATTACTAATCCGCTCTGAGTATCTTTCTATTTTATTTTATATTCATCTGCTGCCGCCTAGTGGAATGGAGTATTTATTTGTTTTGCCTGTCTTGTAGATAAACAAAGACATTTCTTTTCAGTAAATGAGCAATAGTTTTTAGGCCATTTAAGTGAAGTTAGATCATTTTCATGTTACACTTGATGATCTCTCACAGCACACTAAAGTGGCATTGCACATTGTTTTAGGAAACACTGTTTTAGAAGCTCAGTTAATTTATTTCTCGTCTTTTCAGTCATCGTAATGGTATGATGCGTCTGAACCTGCAGCTGTCCATGGGAACCTTCTCTTTAACCTTATTTGGTCTGGTGGGAGTGGCCTTTGGAATGAACCTGTCCTCATGCTTTGAAGAGGTGAGTCTCTCAACTTTGAAGGTTATTTTTGCTGTTCATGTTGTCACGTTACTTAAAACTCCTGCATCATTTTTAATCTGACAAATATTAAATACTGGTGGTTTTAGATGACACTGAGATAGATTTAACTTTACCTTTCATTACTTGATTTATTGTAGACAGTTGGAAGATGTGATTACTTGATTTATTGTAGACAGTTGGAAAGATCTGAGATGTGTTTGACTGCAGAAAGATTTATGGCCTTTTTAAAAGTTACGACCCAAGTGGTGATTTTGTCTCTGTTGTTGTCTCTCAGGACCCTCGTGTTTTCTGGCTGGTCACAGGCTTCATGTTCTTAGGCAGTGGGTGGCTTTGGAGACGACTGCTGTCATTTCTGGCGTGACATCTGGAGCCATTACTGTAATGTACAGTTCAGTTAACATTCACACACATAAAAACAATGTGTCAACTAACACTGCATTGTCCCGACTTGTCATGTTATTTCCAAGACAGGGTTCCCAAACATAAACAACTACTTCTGTCAGTCCTGTTCTAAACAGGCTCTTCACACATATAAGTGCAGTATTATTTCTGAAGGTTAACTTTATTTTTTTTCACTGACAAAACCATTTTTTATAAAATATATTATTATTCAAATTAAGTTCTATTCTTAAATTAAAGAAAAATTGGTGCCAGGTGTAAATAGGAAGTGTAGCAGGTTTTAAAATGACACTAAAATATTGCACATAAAATAACAAAGACTGAGAAGTTGGACAGTTGGAAAGTGACATTAAAATTTTCTCCCACATGATAAACAATAAACTGTTAACTACAAAAGCAGTCTCAACTTAAAAACCTGCTTCATAAAAACATGGAGAAGTTCAACAAACATTGTTTGCCTGGGCTGATCATTGGAAGTGTTAGTAAGACTGAGTGTTGAAAACCCCTGTTCAAAAGCCACAATTTACTATGATATAGTAAAGTAAAACAGATTGCAGATGTATTCACAAGTGACATTTCTTGTCTTTGTCTTACAGATGTCTACAGTTGGGTAAACACCAGAACACCAGACATCAGGGGAAGGCAGACAAAGATCCCTGTTAATAACCACAGACCTCACACAGACGGCACATTTATCTTGAATTTCCTTTAAGCGACGGAGACTTCTTCACTCCTGTAAATGAAATAAAGACTTCTTCACATCTTCTTTACAATAGTCTGAGATTCCACTGTGTTCGTATGACACGTAAAGGTTTTTTGTATCTTCATGTTTGAAACCTCAGCCTTTTTTTAATTAAACTGAAAAACAAAATAGTTTGAATAATATAAATGTAAAAACAAACCTTAATATTTACATTATTATTTGAATGTAAATATTATTTTTTTAAATAAACTATTCTAAGACCCAAGAGTGTTAAATATTAACCCTAAATATTTAAGAACATTTTAATATATGTTAAGTCTCGCAAGTGACAACTGATGCCACCTTGTGGAGCTCTTGTCATTGTGGCTATAAATCCCTGGGATCAAAAGACTCTTAAATCAGGTGTGTTTATTTTTTTAAACCTTAGTGTATTTGTGAACTAGTGATCGAAACCTCTTCACAGCCAATAGGAGCAACTTTCCACTGCTGTGTATAGTGTGTCATTTTTGTGTTACAGTAAGATGTTCTTCAACGTTTAATAAAGTTTTAAAAATGCTTATAACAGGTGTGTATAATTATTTTAAAATCATCTGCAATAAATGTAAGCCTATATCTGAAAATGAAAATTATCCAACTCTAGTGACTGTTTCCTCTTCAATAACCTATATTCAAAAAGCTTTTTTATCACAACCTGATATTTTTTGTCATGTTAACTGCATTTCCTGCCATTTTAAAAATGTATTTTTGAATGGCGTTGCTATGCTAAATTCCCTGCTAGGACAGGAAATGCCTATAATGAGGGACATAACCAAAACAGTACAGTATATGTATGGTCTGTGTCCGTCATTGAACGGACGACCCTCCCCCCTCGCTCTCCTCCCACGACTTCCTCATTCTACGTCATGCCGTGTTGACGTCACTGCGGAGCCACGCTGCAGTCCAAACAACTTTTCCAGAGCAAGCCCAGTTTCACATTACTGACTCCTCCGCACTGTCGACATTTACCCGAGAAAAACACGGGTGAAAACGTGACCTGGACTAAGCCGATACGACGCTACTTTTACTTCCACCAACAATAGCTTACCTCTTCTACCAATTTGTCGTCCTCTTCTTTTTTTAGACAATCTTTATTCTGGAAGTTAAAATGAGAAATCTGTGGTTGTTGTTTCTCGTCGGACTGGCGACAGGATTTATTGGTGAGAAAAAAGTAAGTGGCTTTAAAGAATAATTTTTACTTTTAATTTGTGCCAGATTTCATCCGTTTGAACAGTTGAGTGTCTGTATCAATAATTTTGAAGAAAATGTATATTTTCCGAGTTTTGCGACAAAGACAAAAACTGAACTATAAAATTAATTTTTAGTGCCTCTGTTTTCTTGAACTGGATGTTAAGCTTTTAATTTCCTTACATCAAAGTTGAAGTAGATTCGGGCTTCTTGCCCGGCAAAGTTTCTTCGTTGGTTGAGTGGGTCCATTAATTATTTACACTCAAACGTTTATGCTAACCTGTTCAGTATCGGGAAATTCGCAAAGCGTGCTAAATGAGTATGCTTTGCGTCATGTTTGAGTCATGCTTCTTGATTTAAAACATGTTTCATTCACAAAAACGTTTTATTTATTTTTAAATAATGACTCACATTTTGTAAAAAATATCCAAATATAGATGAAAAACTACGTCCGGTCCTGTGCCTCCGCTGAAAAGTAAATGTTGTGATATTGAACTACATAAGTCAACATTATCCTCCGTGAATCAACAGCATGCACTGTGCTATACAACAGATGTGGAACTGATGACAGACATATTTGCAGAAGTTATGTCCCTGTTTAGCAGCAAATTAACTCGGGGCCAAAATCTCTTTACCCTCCAGTTTGACCATTTGAACACATGTCTTTGGACTAAAGAGTTAGAGGGAAATGGTTATTCTTTAATTTAAATAAATAAATTGCTAAAAAACGACAAAATCCTCCTCCTTCTCACTGCATTACCCCTCTATTTCTTTGTGACTGCTATAAAACACCTGAAAATGACAGACTGGAGCAAAGCCTAGTATTTTGTCACTAGTATTCTAGTATTCTGGCGACATGATTTATCGACTGTAAAAGTCCCGAAATGAAATCCACGGAGCTGGAAGACCTCTTAAAAGCATGATATGTAGGATTTATGGTCTTTATATTGCGATAAGGAAGAGGACTGAAACCTGAGACTGGCCTGTTGGATACTTACGTAGAACAAACTAAAGTCAAAGAGCACATTTAAAGAGTAGTTAAGAAAACCTTTTCTCTTTCTTTCCCAGCTGAGTCCTTGTGAGATATAAAACTGTACTAAAACCTTAACAACTGGGATGGTTTTACTGCTGTGTGATGTTTCCTGCTCTAATCCACATGCCCTTTGATTTCTCCTCACATTTTTCCACCAACACACAGACCTTCAAGTTTAAATTGCTGGGTGTGATGGGTGGCATCATGAATTCATAGCCTGTCTTTCTCTCTGTGTGCGGCCAAAATGACCGTGAAGAAACTTGTGAGTCAAATAGTCATAGAGGTTACTCACCTCTGAAATCTGGATGTTTAAACAGATTATTTGCCCTCTGACAGTTTGTGTCCTGAGCGTTGAGTCATTTTCTGCGTAGATGACTCACAGTTAGTTCTACTGGGCTAGCCCTGACAAGCCTGGTACTGCATTTTCTATAAAGTCAGATAAGACAAGAGGAAGAGTTTAACACTTGTTTAAACCTGTTGCCAAAAAACTCACATGACCAACTTGGTATATAAAGTTATACACCAAATGATGTGGTAATTTGATATTGGCCGTAGACATTCATGTGATCCCAGTGGCATGGAATTGGTCACAGCATATTATTTACAATAGTGTCTTCTTTGTGAAGACATTTTATTGCCTTCCTGAATGGTTCTAAAATGTTCTGGTGATTTTTGCTGTGTGTGTGTGCATGAGTCTGTTTATTTCAATCTCAGTATGGCCTGGAGGAATTTTCAAAACCATGTCAAATATTTGAACCTAAAATGAGGTAGCATTTGTTGACATAGACGAAGACTGGTAGTTCAATTTAACAGTTTCTGTTAAATGTTTCTGTCTCTAACGATGCTATGGAAACACATAACTGACACTTTAGTGTCACATAAAATATATAATCAACCTGTGCAAAGTTAAGTTTCTGAAGCAGCATTGAGCATCCCTCCACATTGACACGTTCACAGTTGTTGCTTCAGAACTCCACTGAAATTAGTTAAATTCTTTGTTGAGCCCCTCTTTTATTAGCTATATGTTTATTGGTTGAGAATGGATTTGCCCCCCACTTTAAGAGTCAATGCGTTAAAATAAGCCACAAAGTTGGTTAACATAGGTTAGACACATGATAGGAGAAAACAGGCAAAAATAAATGAAAAGTTAACTCTCAAAGGCTAGATGGCAGCCGGAAGCTAGTCAAAAAGTTAGAGTTAGCACTAATGCTAAATGATGTTGAAGATAAGGATTTGTGTTGCAATGCTAAATACATTTCTATGCCATTTAGCATGCACCCAGTGGAACAGAGCATTGTGGGATGCTGCTGTGGAAATTTCAGTGGTGATGACAGCTTGTCTTTGTGCTTTTTGGCTGTTACACAACCTCATTCTTGACCTGTTGGTCTCTGGCTGACATCCAGCCCATTAGGGGAAATGTACTTTAATAGCTGTCAATCCAACCTGCATAAAACTTTGTATTTGTGGGCTGCAGATTTAATAATGTACTACCCCAACACACACACATACACACACCACCTCCCTGTTTTACAACTGTGACCTGACTGTTTCCAGAAAACTGTCTGCACCATGACAAAGCACCAGCAGACCAGATGGTCATATATGATCTGTGTCCGTGTGTGCACTATATACATATATAATGTCAGTCTGTTTTCCAGATGTGATTATCCACAGAGTGGCTGAGTCAAATCTTCCAGTAAACACTAAATGTTTCTCCATACTTTCCATGTCTATAGCTCTCCAGAGATTCATGTCCATACCTCCATGTCCATGTGACACAAAAGCAAATTCAAACCATGGACTGTGTATAAGAAATGGACTCTATGCTTTCTCATTACAAACTTGATTGATGGGGTTTAAGTAAACAAGTAATAATTAAAAACCATAAAAATAATAATTTTAAAATAAAAAAAAACATTAACAGGAATGGTACTTTTTTAGAAAGTCTGGGAATTTTTGTGTCTTTAAATATCTTTTTTCACACAAATAATTGAACAAATATTCATTCCTTGAATCATAATAATATTAGTAATTATAATCAAAGAGTATACTATTTTTATTTAGTCTCCCTGTGTACAGCACTAATTTACGTCATGTGAGTTGGTAAATCTGTCTACTGAGGTCAAGTTAAAGCGTTGTCATGAGCTCAAAGGGGAAATTGTGGTGGGTTTTGGTGTACACAGTCTGACTCTCTGTCAGCGAAAGATAGACCTGAGCAGGAACTGCTTTATGTCAAACCCAGAGACGAGACCAGACCAAACAAACAAGACTATTAATGACTGTCTGGGAGCTGAATGTGTGTAAAAACACAAAATTTGAGTCAAAAATCCCTTTGGTCAAATACAGGTGTGAAATTGGTGATGAAGGTAGAGGCTGTTTTCAGATGACACTCATGGTCTTGTGGTTGTGATGGTGGGAGTTATAGTTCTATGTGTGCCGTGTTTAATGGTAACAGCAGGGGTGAGCAGTGGATGACCTGCTGTTGCCTAAGAAACCACATTGGGAACACAGCAAAGGCATCTATTGTTTTAAAAAAGCTATATGAAAAAAATTAACAGACAAAAAAAAATCTCCACTCTTCATGTCATCCACCTTATTGACAAAAGCTAATTGTTATGACAATAGAACTTGTCTTGTAAAAGAAGTCTGCCGTCTGCAGGCACAAGACAAGGCTGTCCATTGTTGTAAACAGAAGACTCCTTTCTATTCATCCCTTGAGACAAAACACATTAAAGGCATTAGATGGACATGTCATTTGTCTCTGTAATGCCTTTCTCCTTCAGAATACGTGTGTGTGTGTTATTGTTTTGACAAGTGCAGCATCTGCTTTTGTAATCCAGAGCTAAAGATGGCAAGAATGTGAGAAGCCCGTCTGCTATTTCAGTCAGTCTCGCTGTTATGAGCCTCCACCGTCCTTTGAAAATTGATGTTGATGGTTTTCTGTTTGGCCTCTTTCATTACTGTGTGAACATCTGGTTTGTCTCATAATGTCTTTTTCTTTTCTGTAGTTTCTCTGTCATGCGGTTACATCTCTTTTATCTCAGACGGATATAAAATCTTAAAGGTTTGCCCCTTAGAGAGCATATAAATAGACCTTACTTCCCGATTGCGTAACAGAGTTCCATATAATCCTTAAAATGCATCATTTGTTCCCCAATGTTTGACCATTTAGAATCCAGAAGAGACTGATATATGCGGAAGATTTGGTGCAGAATAACCATTATCAGTCAAACACAATGTCACTTTTTCTTTCTTTTAAATTCCCTCAAGATTTAACCAACAACAGTGTCATTTTGTGTTATTTCAAGTATCTTTATGTTATAAATAACATCAAACAAAGTCCTGCTTTACTACTGACATAATTACTGTTAGATTTGTTTTTTGATCAACAGGTAAGTTTAAGAAAATGAAAATGGGATATTATTCACAATTTACAAGATCAGCCAATTTACGTTGGTTTGTAAGATGTGTGTTTTGTTAACTATATTATTTTTTAGAGGAAAATTGAAGATAAACCACATTGTTAGATGGTGTGTATGTGTAAACACCCTGTGAGATTGACAGCCAACATTTGTAGATATTGTTTTGGTGAAAGTCTACATTAGATTGTTTTTACAGACCACACACACACACACGTGACCTGTTTGTGTTCTGTCTGCTCATGCTTGCATTTCTTGCCCTGATATGAGCAAAGGAATGCCACTATGTTATCGTTCTGGGTCCAGAAGAGTAATACTTCAAGAATTTACTGCCTCATTTATTTCCCCCAAGTGTGAGAAATTATTGCAGTCGAAGACATAGCAGTGCAACTGCTCATATGTCTCGTCCACAGTCCACAGCACCTGTTTTATAAAGAACACTCAGTTCTCTCACAGTGTTTCTCTCTCCCACTCTCTTTTTTCCTCCCGTCTCCCACTTTTTTCTCTCTCTCAGCACCTGTGTTAGTGCAGGCATAGTATACATACCAGACATATTTCAGCCCTGAATGGGCCATATTCATCCCGGTGTGTATGTGTGCGTCTCCTTTTTAGGTTGCCTTTGAGGATAAATGCCAGTTTTAAAACAAGTCAGAAGAGCTGACTTTGGGTCAAAAGGAAGTGTAAGGGCACGGCTTAGAGTAAACAGTAGTGGTTGAAGTCGTGTGTGAGACTACAAAGTTTATATGGAGAGTTTATTTTTCCCAGTTCGGACTGTTTTTGTACCTTCCTAAAAAAAAAAAGCAAAACGCTAGGTTTTAAGAGCAGTACCAAATCTCATAGATAAAAAAGCTGCAACCTAATATAAATATACAGTTGTTTGCCACAGTGTCCGTTGTACTCCAGCGGTGTGCCACAGTGTCCAACAGTAGTGCATGGGGGTTGTTATAGTACAACCTGTTGGATTTCCTTTTTTTTTGTTTACCTGTCAACTATTGAAAACCCTTTACTTTTAAAGGTGTCTCGAGACACACGTTGTCATATACACACATTGCAGAAAAAGTTTGCTTTTCACCAAAACACCTCATGCTTAAAATACAACACTAAGCATGTGTTGTTGGAGGATTCAACTTGAGTGTTCTTAAGTGTTCTCAGGTTCTGTGACGTGTCAAAAATAACTGTCACAAATGAACCAGAACCCACTCTCTGTCTACTGTAACTGTGACAGCGTTGATGTGAGCACACTGTGTTTATACTGGCAGTCAGTAGAAAAAAAATCAGCTAGCATATTTGAGCAGCTTAGGTCATTGGTTGTGAAGGGTATTGTCTTACACTTGTATTCTGTAGATGCTCACATGTTTTCAATTAGGCGGTGGAATTTTCTGAGCGTGAATGAAGGAGATTTATGTGGATCTATGGCTCTCCCTCCTCCTACGTCTTTACTGTTTTGTCCTGCTGGACTCAAATGAGTTACAAAATTCTTTTCTTATTTCCAGCTCTTGGTCTCCTCCCAGTCACCGCTGTCTGCAGCAGACGACCTGTACTTAGAGGGCCGCACATCTGGGGACCTGCCTATAGATGATGAGGATGGTGACGATGACGGCTCAGGCTCAGGCTCTGGAGACTATGGTAAAAGCAGCTATTATTGTAGGATGGTATTTCATCACATATTTTCCACAATTTTTTGCTTTTTCCCAAAGTGTGTTTTCCTAATCTGCCACGTCAGATTAATGGGCATTGATTAGTCAACGCTGGGTCTTGTAAAGTTGGCCATAAAATCTCTGCAGATGTTTGACCTGAGGTGGTGTAAGTTATCCAGGTGAAATTTATTAGTTTAATAGTAATTCAAGGATGTCTGGATGACTCATCTTCACACCCACAATAAGGAACATCTTCATACCTTCTTTCACTGTGATCTGTCATAGTTTAGTGTCTCATATACTGTTGTCATAATATGAGTTTTATAAAACCTACAGATAAGTATGTACGTGTTTATACCAGTCTTTAGCCCTGGTCTCAATCAAAGATAAAACATCTTTACTTTTCTAGACAAAAGCTGCAATTAATCAACCACTTGAACTTTTACATTTATCAAAAAATGTTCAAAATATTTTACCAAAGCACCTTAATTGTAACAGCATGTGTTTTACCAAATGGGTTTGATTTAAAAACATTGGATTTCTAGGTGTGGAGTAAAAAGACAAAAAAAAATTACAATTACAATTTCTAAGGCTTAGTTGAGCTAACCATATGGTCAGGATTTTGCAGGAAAATAGTTTTCTGTGATTATTTTTAATGTGGTTTGAAAAACTGTTCCCAAAGAAAATGAGAAATGTATTTTCATCGCTGCACCAGAACACTACTGTTACATTTTTGGGGTTTTAACATAAAAAACAGGGGTACATTTATACTTAGTGACACACTTCAGAAATTACACAACACTTTTAAAACCAAACTCCTGCACTGGATTGAAATGTCGTTGGTTCTTCATTCTCAGATTTCGTCTATGCAGACAAAGAAGAGTTAATCAGGAGAATCCTCAACTTCTCTCGAACCACAGTCTCCAAAGAACTGGAGCCAGCTCAGCCACAGCCATCAGCACAATCTCCCCACATCCCAACAACCACAGCAGCTGACAGCCATGTCCACATAGTAACAGAAAAAACAAAACCTGATGAAGACAACAGGGAGGAGAAGGTACAGTTCATCACGTTAGTTTGTCCTTTTTAATCTCACATTTGGGTCCCAGGACCTCTCTGAAACAAACAAACAAACTAAGAGCTTCACTTCATTTGAAACCTGACCTGTTTTAAATACATACTTTATGGTTGTTCAGTGCACAAAGCAAACACTAAACTGGGGAATTTTCTCCTCCCAGGTGCCAGATGTTGTCCCAACAGCTGAGCGTTCCACAGAGCATACGAGCACCACCTCTGCTGCCAGTGAAACCACCACAACCACAGTCAGCGTAGACATCGGTGTAGTCAAAGAGCATGAAGAGGACAACAGTTTGGACAGGTGGGACATCACCACACCCGGCGAAATTTTGATCCAGGAGGAGAACAACGAAGTCTGGGGCAGAGACAAACGCATAAAAAATGCCGAAGAGGTCACGTCGGAAAACATGTGGGAGAGGACAGAAGTTCTTGCAGGTAGGAGACAAATTTGAAAGCATTTCTTTTAAATACTACTTTACATGAAGTGTAAATATTTAAGACGATGTTTGATGCCTTAATCTTTTTGGATTGAATTAAGTGAGAAAATAAACTATTTTAACACATGGATGTTTAACCAGTAGAAATGATGTTTGGCCAGTGCTGCCTGACCGTTGGAAGCTAATGTGGAGCCCTATGTGGCTAGTTTAAATTGGCTAACCTAATGGTTAAATGATGTTTATCAGTAATGTTTTCAAACTCTCTGTGTGTCCTCCAGCTGTGATAGCATGTGGAGTTGTGGGATTCCTCTGTGCTGTTTTCCTGCTCCTACTTCTCGCCTACCGTATGAAGAAGAAGGACGAAGGCAGCTATGACCTTGGAGACACCAAACTGTCCACGACAGTTTATCACAAAGCGCCCACCAAGGAGTTTTATGCCTGAACCTCATAACTGGGACTTATCATGGATTCTGTCATTTGCCAAAGGGCTGAGGATCAGGAAACATCAGATTTCTTTTGATGTGCATTCCTGAAGACCAGCACCTGTACTCTTCTCAATGTTCCTTAGATTTACTTTTATTTTTCTTCATCATTCCTATGTTCATCTTATGCCATCTTGATGTTTTTCTTTCTTTAAAAGAAAACACATTCATATCATTCCAACCTGGTTTTGGAGCGAGACATTAATACTCATCCTCAATTTTAGAGACAATAATCTTCACTGCAGGAATCGGTGGGTCTATTTTAGGGAGGCGATCAGCTTTAATGTAATAATGACCTGGTGCCTTTAACTTGTTTAAAGTGAAGCATGCCGGTTTTGACCTTTGACAAATCCACTGTGCCTTTTAGCCTAACAGACATTTGCAGCCAAGAAGAACAGCAGGAGTCTGTGAACCTAGGATTCCTCATAATGGATTTTCTGCGCTGTTGAATAAAACTTTGTTACTAAGTAATGGGATAATTCTAAGGATTTGACATTTATTTGAGGGCAGACTGGTTTGACAGCTTTCTCTGTTACATTTCATTTTTCTGTTGCCTGTGCTGAATTGAAGATTTAATGTCATCATGAAGAATGAATATGTTTTTTTTTCCATACGCTGTCCAGTATTGATATGAGATTTGTTACTCATCGGGTACTTTGGTTTTTTTTTTGTTTGTTTGTTTGTTTGGTTGGTTTTTTTTTTTTGTAATTTTTTTGACACGTAAACCTGGCCAAATATAAATGTTCTCTAATGGCTTTTGGTTAAAAAAAGACATTTTTAGTACTTTTTAAATGTGATTGCATATTTGTAGGTTCTGTTTCCAGTTCCATTTTTCTTTTTAAATATTGTGCATTCACAAAGTGTCATCCCTGAACATTTAAACGCCTAACCAACAATGATATTATTTTGAAAAGAGTGCAGCGAATGTAGGACAGGATTGTTGAGATACAATAAAGAGCCAAAGTTAAATTACTATAATCCAAAAACTGTAGACGTGACCAGTGTTGTCTGACAGAAGCCAAAACACATTCCTGTTGACTACACAGCTGAAGTGAGACCCTGAAGCTTAAAGACGGTTCATTGTTTCCTATGGGTTTTTGAGACCAGCAGCCAAAAAGAATCAATAAAAATATATACATATATATGTACAGTATCCGCTTTCTTCGTAACTGTAACATTTAGTGAGTCACGTAATCTGTCATGATTGTAAAACTGTCTCGGTCTATTTTTTTTATATGCTAATGAATGATGCTGAGTAATTGTTTAAAAAATATTTAGGGCTTTAATAAAATTATTTCCACATACTTGTTTTACTTAAATGCAACCAGTAGAGAGATTATACTGTACAAAATAATATTAAATATTCTGTTGTTTTTTTTCCAGTATGGGGCTTGTGGAATTCCATTCAGCTAATAATTATACAGTTTTAGATTAATGATTTTTTGACTCTAGCCATTAATTTAATGTGGACAAATGTACTGTAATTTTTTCCTGTTTTCTTAAAACTTAAAACTAAATTCTTAAACTTATAAAAATCTTTATCAAACTGCATTTGACTTCATTGGTAAGCTTAGTAGTGTAACTGAGTGAACGCGCAGTTTATCTTCACTTTTCATATTAATCTTTTTTTAAACATTGTAATGTTTAAAATGAAACATACAATATTTTCTTTACATTTTAGTTTTTTAATGTTACTTCCCTGATTGAACAGTTTATATAACCTAGTATGTGATGCCACATCTTTTTTTGCTTCTAAATATAATATTTTTATCATACAAATTGCTTGATCATAATAGAACTTGTTTTAGAATAATTCTAGACTAAGTGAATGCAAAATTATATGCAAACTACCTATTGACTATGGTCGGAATAAATGATCCTATAGCTAACCTTATGTGACTTGTGCTAGTTGTTGGGCACTTGATTCCTTGGTGCCTTACAGTTCATTGTCCACACTGATTCTCAGTATTTGTTTTTTTTCTTTCTTTCTTTCTTGGACCTTTAAACTGTACAGAACCACATCTTGAATTCTGGGCTTCACTGCCTCAGTGGGATCAGTTTACAGAATTCTGATTCTAATCTGTAAATGCTGGTATTCAGATCAGAATCCAACAGGTGACCAATGACTTGGGCATTTTTTTTTCCTAAGATCTCTTTATGTTCATATGGTACGTTGACGATACTCTAATTTATGTATTAATTTATACGCGCTAAAACTATAGTCTACGTTAGTGTGATACTGATTAGTTAACTGTACAATCTTTACTTGTGGTTAACATGTATTTGTGCTTATTGATTATGCCATTTCTTTATTGTTTGTTTTTAAAGCCTTTGATTTAATTCCAAATATTCTTCAAAATAAAAAACACTTAAGGTACTATAATTTCATTTTAAGTAATGTAAGTCCACCAACGACAATGGTCTTTTTCAGCCTAATGAAAAATCAAAAAAGCACTAACCATTAATCCATTTGACACCATTTTGTTAAACTGTGTACAAAAGGCAGCAAGAACATAACTGTTGCTGATATTGTGCATCTTCTGAGGTTCACTACTGAATAAAAGAAACGTGGCTTTAAATTCATTGCAACAACTGTCATTTTTCCTCTTTAGGATTGATGTGTCTTTAAAAAGACTTTCAAATAACAACTGGAAAGAATTTTTGTTTTCCATGCATGGAACACAAGTATAATAGTATGGAAAGTTGTCAGAGGCAGAGAAGTCTTGCTCTTTAACTTTAACTTAAAGAAACCAAGACAATTGAGTTGGCTGTGATGTAACTGCTTCAGATAAGGTGACCTGGATGACAAAATTTACAGTCCCTTTACTAATATAAATGGCAGAAAAAGACATAAGTAATCAGCACAGAGCCAAATGGTCTGATGTTTTTTCAAAACCCAGTGATGCAGAGGGAAAAAAAACAAATGGCAGAGGTGACAAAGAGGCCTGTCAAAGACAGAGGAGTCATCAGAGGTGTCCTATTTCACTATGTACAAAGGAAATACAAATGGAGTCTGACACCTCTGGTTGTTTCTCACTGGGCTGTTATTTACAGCGAACTGGTGGAAATACAGAGATTACAAAATTGTTTCACCGTGGATGTAATTCATAATTATTCATAAAAACATATTTATTTTAAGTAAGTATTTTAAGTACACAAATTAGTACTGCCAAAATGGCATAACATTAGTAAGTTAAACAAATTGACTTATTAAATTATTTTGTTTTGAGCAAAGAGTATGAGTTTCATAGTCCATATAATTATATAAGGCATTTTCAGCAAATTGTGATCAAAACGAGTTTTACATAATGGCCCAAATCTTAATTCAAAACATAGTTAATCCATTAACCATCTAATATATGAAGCACATATTTGACATTTAAGTAAAACGTGTTTTCCCTCTTTTATTGTGAAACAGCTAAACCGGACGTGGACAGACATCAAAATTACGTTGGCGGAAACAAGGTTTAAAATTGTTTTAATTTTTGTTGTGGTGCAGAGAAAGTCTTGGTTGTGGTCGGAAATACGTTCGTTTTCTGTCATTCGTCTGGTTATGGTTAAATGGTTAGTATGTTGTCTTTTAAGAGCTAACTATCTCTAATACTGTCACATCCGGAAAGTTCGTCTTTGTTAAATGTGAATCAGTCTTTCTTTCTGTCAGTTTTAAAGCAAACACGCCAGCTAGCAAGTTGTTGTTTCGATGACTGCATCTCATGTTTTGATATTGTTTACAGAGATTAAATTTACTTCTGTCAGCGTTGAATTAATTTGTCTGTTCACAGATGTCTTCTTGCAAAAGACGGCTGTGTTTCCTTTCGTTTCTGTCTCTTTTGTCATCACTTTGTGATTGTCACCCACACGTGAGCCGGATGGTGGGTGCAAGAGCAGCATCCAATCAAACTGCAAGAAAAGGTAGTATGGCTCTACTCAGTAAAAAAGGGAAGTTAACCTACAGTCGTGCAAATGATAGATTACAGGAAAATGATCGATTGACCACTGTTGACCAAAATGTTCACATAATTACTTGTTTACTTAAGTTATTAAGTAAATAGTTAGTTAGTTAAATATTACTAGCATACTTGAGGCATGGACGAGTCATGAGGCTAGTCGGTTACATACGGTTTAATGCAATAAAGATCCTAATACTTTTAAGCTGCCAGTGTTTTCTGACATTTATTTCCATTTAGTCTTTATTGCATGATTACTTTTATTATAAACATAGTGAAAAATATTACACAACAGTAAGACTTCTGTGTTATATTGCTTGCATCACATGCTGTTTTGTAAAGTTCAGAGCTCAAAGGTTATGTTAAATTATCAAGTGAAAATGTAGTCATGGAAAGTAAACTTTCTTTCACTGTCCTTCAGTTTCACATATAGCAGAAGAAGTCGCAGGCTATACTGATGTGGCAAAACAGATCATTGACCTGGCTGTGTATGGTGCTGCACAGAACCGATCCTACAGGCGACTGGCCGACTTCACTGACACTGTGGGGAACCGTGTCAGCGGTTCTCAGAATCTAGAGATGGCTATTAAATACATGTACAAGGCCATGACACAAGATGGGCTGGATGTTCATTTAGGTGAGTATTATCTGAAATACGCAGTTTAACTTGGCGGTATAAATATTGTAAGCGAAACCTAAATCTGTCATTGCTGTTTTGTACATTTCTAATCTAGAGCCTGTGAAAATCCCACACTGGGTGAGAGGGAAGGAAAGTGCAGAAATGATTTCACCCAGAGTCAAAAAACTAGCCATACTGGGATTGGGCAGCAGTGTGGGAACACCACCTGAAGGTAAAGACGGCTACGTTATGTCGGCAAATCCATTCAAACATCTAGCCTTAAAGTTCTCTCCCATTCATGTCACTCTCTCTTTGCTACCTTTACAGGTATTGAATCAGAAGTGTTAGTCGTTCAATCTTTTGAGGAACTGAAGAAACGATCGAGTGAGGCTGTTGGCAAGATTGTGGTTTTTAATCAGCCATTTGTGAGCTACGGGCTGACGGTGGCTTACCGAGCCTTTGGTGCCTCTGAGGCTGCTAAAGTCGGAGCTGTGGCCACCCTCATCAGGTCTATCACTCCATTCTCTATTAACAGGTATCTGGCTGTCTGCATGGGGATATTATTCATGCCATAAATGATTTTAATTCTATTTAAAGATCAAATCACTTGTGTGTCTAGAACAGCATGTCCTTTTTGGGGGTACCAAAAACATTAAATAAAAAACTCAACTAAGTGAAATTCTGACCTTGAATGATCCCAAAAAAGTCACTTCCTCTCCACATCCTTTGAGTTGAGTGACTGCCACCCATTTTTTTTAATTTAATGATAAATGGTTAGTATGTTGTCTTTTAAGAGCTAACTATCTCTAATACTGTCACATCCGGAAAGTTCGTCTTTGTTAAATGTGAATCAGTCTTTCTTTCTGTCAGTTTTAAAGCAAACACGCCAGCTAGCAAGTTGTTGTTTCGATGACTGCATCTCATGTTTTGATATTGTTTACAGAGATTAAATTTACTTCTGTCAGCGTTGAATTAATTTGTCTGTTCACAGATGTCTTCTTGCAAAAGACGGCTGTGTTTCCTTTCGTTTCTGTCTCTTTTGTCATCACTTTGTGATTGTCACCCACACGTGAGCCGGATGGTGGGTGCAAGAGCAGCATCCAATCAAACTGCAAGAAAAGGTAGTATGGCTCTACTCAGTAAAAAAGGGAAGTTAACCTACAGTCGTGCAAATGATAGATTACAGGAAAATGATCGATTGACCACTGTTGACCAAAATGTTCACATAATTACTTGTTTACTTAAGTTATTAAGTAAATAGTTAGTTAGTTAAATATTACTAGCATACTTGAGGCAAGGACGAGTCATGAGGCTAGTCGGTTACATACGGTTTAATGCAATAAAGATCCTAATACTTTTAAGCTGCCAGTGTTTTCTGACATTTATTTCCATTTAGTCTTTATTGCATGATTACTTTTATTATAAACATAGTGAAAAATATTACACAACAGTAAGACTTCTGTGTTATATTGCTTGCATCACATGCTGTTTTGTAAAGTTCAGAGCTCAAAGGTTATGTTAAATTATCAAGTGAAAATGTAGTCATGGAAAGTAAACTTTCTTTCACTGTCCTTCAGTTTCACATATAGCAGAAGAAGTCGCAGGCTATACTGATGTGGCAAAACAGATCATTGACCTGGCTGTGTATGGTGCCGCACAGAACCGATCCTACAGGCGACTGGCCGACTTCACTGACACTGTGGGGAACCGTGTCAGCGGTTCTCAGAATCTAGAGATGGCTATTAAATACATGTACAAGGCCATGACACAAGATGGGCTGGATGTTCATTTAGGTGAGTATTATCTGAAATACGCAGTTTAACTTGGCGGTATAAATATTGTAAGCGAAACCTAAATCTGTCATTGCTGTTTTGTACATTTCTAATCTAGAGCCTGTGAAAATCCCACACTGGATGAGAGGGAAGGAAAGTGCAGAAATGATTTCACCCAGAGTCAAAAAACTAGCCATACTGGGATTGGGCAGCAGTGTGGGAACACCACCTGAAGGTAAAGACGGCTACGTTATGTCGGCAAATCCATTCAAACATCTAGCCTTAAAGTTCTCTCCCATTCATGTCACTCTCTCTTTGCTACCTTTACAGGTATTGAATCAGAAGTGTTAGTCGTTCAATCTTTTGAGGAACTGAAGAAACGATCGAGTGAGGCTGTTGGCAAGATTGTGGTTTTTAATCAGCCATTTGTGAGCTACGGGCTGACGGTGGCTTACCGAGCCTTTGGTGCCTCTGAGGCTGCTAAAGTCGGAGCTGTGGCCACCCTCATCAGGTCTATCACTCCATTTTCTATTAACAGGTATCTGGCTGTCTGCATGGGGATATTATTCATGCCATAAATGATTTTAATTCTATTTAAAGATCAAATCACTTGTGTGTCTAGAACAGCATGTCCTTTTTGGGGGTACCAAAAACATTAAATAAAAAACTCAACTAAGTGAAATTCTGACCTTGAATGATCCCAAAAAAGTCACTTCCTCTCCACATCCTTTGAGTTGAGTGACTGCCACCCATTTTTTTTAATTTAATGAAATTAACATTTCTACTTTCAGAAACATCTTGACCACCTGAAATTAATATATATTAAGTTAACATTTCTACTTTCAGAAACATATTGACCACCTGAAATTAATATATATATATAAAGGTAACATCCTTGTAGATGTAATTGTCATCATAACATCGAGTGACCCATTAATAAAAGATACGGGGTAAAAAAAGGAATGTGGACTTCATTTAATTTCTACCACTTAGTACTCCACTTCCTGTAGTCCACACACAGGTTGGCAGGATTACCAGGATGGAGTGAAGCAGATCCCTACGGCCTGTATCACTGTGGAGGATGCTGAGCTGATGTGGCGAATGGCACAGAGGGGACAGAAGATTGTGGTGCGACTGACAATGGAAGCAAAGACACTGCCGGACGCTGACTCCTTCAACACAGTGGCAGAAATAAAAGGCTGGCAGCACCCTGAACAGGTAGAAGGTTCAATCTCATTATTATCCTTAACTGCTGCTCTGATGCTGCCTTTTTGTCTGGGTGACTTTTTGACTTGATGCAATGACAAATAATGTAGAGACTGTAATTTTCACCATTTAATATTTACACAGTATATGTGGCAGTCTTAGATCAACGTTTGTAATCTTGTCCGTGTGTCATTATGTCTGTGGAAAAAGACATTTAACCTGACGTTCCCTGTCAGAACCAGCCAGGGTCGGTGTCCTCATTGTGCTACGTCCAAGACTGGATCACTAGGCCAGTTTTGTCAGTGAGTAATTAACTGCTGTGGAGAATAAAAAAAAACCAAGCAGATTAATCAGTGAGTAATTAACTGCTGTGGAGAAAAAAAAAACAAGCAGATTAGTGACAGAAACCCACAGTAAGAAATCTCTAAACCAGAGGTCTGCAATACTAGATACTAGAATAAAAAGGCACTGTACGGGTGCTTTGAAACATTTGGTTGGTTGAACATTTTTTATATCTCTATATATTTTTTATTATTATTTACCCACTTTTTCTTAATTAAAATATATTTAAGTACACATTACCAAGATGTCCAGTATTTTATTATTTGGATAGAATAGTAATAAATCCTGTCCACTCTGTATATGAAAGCTACAGAACATGCTGAAGTGACGTTATGTTGGCCTGGTGAGTGGACGCTGCGTTGCGTAGTCATTTATCTCCATCAATCAAACCTACATTCCCACTTCAAAAAGACTTATATAATTGTGTTTTGCCACTAAAAAAAATGGTTTATTTAGAGACCGGTGCCCTACTGTAGTTTGTCCTCGTCAGTCCAAACAACCTTTGAGAAAATTAAAGACCTGCAAATGGAGTTTTTCATTTAATGGTATGAAGAGTTGTTATTTATGAACCCATTGTAAAGTGAGCAACTGGATGATGGTATCAACATATTTGTTTTTTTAACAGCTATACAAAAGCAGCTGCAGTCACCATCAGTATACTGTAGTCATGTTGGATAGAACAGGACGAATCATATGACTGTGTTAAGTCATGTTTCCTTGGATATGGCCGTGACGTTTAAACAGAACAATGCAATAAACTTAATGCGACTGTAAAATTCTTGGGAAATGTGGCGCAACCTGAGCTGCTCGTTAGTCATCTGTACGTACGTCCATACACATCATACTTGGAACTTTTCCACTGGTAGACCTCTCTGTTAAAACTATTAGGCAGTGAAATATGTTCTGCTAAGAATTAGAAGCTTGTAACTGCGGAGGTAACACACATTATTTGACCCAGCTGCGGTGAAGTGTCAAACAGTACTGGACACGGCTTCTTTGACTGTATTTGGGTGAGGAGTTAGAGGTGGATGTGAACAGTTTTCGGTCACCATCATCTGTTTTTTTTTTCTTACTTTAATTGGTCTTGTTTTCACTTTTGGTGTAATTGGGACTCTAATTTAGTCTTTTTAGTCTTGATGACTGTTTTAGATCACTTATTCAGATCCTGTTTTATGTTAACATTATGAAATAGTCTCACAGTTTTGTCAGATCATTTCTTACATTCCAATGTTTTTTTTATTGCATTCACTGTGGGAGCTACTCTTTGGGTTTCATAAAGGATTTCTAAGAATTAGGAAATGTTCAAGTGATTAAAAACCATGCATGCAGAATTGCTTTTTAACAGTCAGTTTCATACACACTCTCATATTTATCGAGTTCAGTCTCTGCATTATATCTTAGTCACTCACTCGTACACCTCTGGCCTCTGGTTTCTGACTGACTTTCACTAATCTCACCGTCATGTTCATAAAACCCTTGACAGAATGGCCCTGTGACATCATCCTTCAGAGACCAACCTTTAGACGTTTGAGGTAAATACGGGCTGTACAGCTACTGTATAGACTGTCAGCAACATTGGACAGACAGACCATGGTTTTGTGAGGCCCCAGATAATAAAAAAAAACAAAACATTCCCCTCATTATTTCACCACCAGTCCAAAAGGGGATTCTCTGTAGCTAAAAACTGGTTTTAACCTGGGTCGCTGTCGTCTGTATTCTCCGCAGTAACATTATGATGCATTTTTATGACTTTACCAAGTGTTCTTAATTATCCTGTGCCCACCACGGTCTGACATTTCCGTTCGTAGACGCAGTGGAACGTGATGTGGTCTCCTGCTCCTGACGCCCATCAGATCTTCTCTCCTCTCAAATATGTTTTCGCTCACCACAGTCGGAGAGTCGTTGTCCCATTACCATAATCATTATCATTTTAAATACCAGTATGGTCTTCTGCTCTGCTCTTTCATACACGTGGCCTTCAGTGGAGCTGCTGTTTGCTGGATGGTTTGTTTTTTGCATGTTTTAGTTATTAAGTTTAAAAAAAAAAAAACAGGAACAAACTACTTTAAAATGGTTTGAATTATATTTTAGGAAAATCCCCTTTGGAACATAAAATAATTACCTAGAGGACCTTCTCAGAGTAGTGCTTATTCTACAGCAGTGATCTGTGTCTAGCTCTGCTGCAACTAGGAGAGACTTGGTGCAAAGTTTGTAACTAACAGGCTCTGCCACTGCACACATATCATTTATTATTTATTTTTTATAGATCCGGATTTATTCTGGACAGACATTAAGAGGACCAGACACACAAATTGTTGATTGGATGGTTTGGTGGATGATCTAAAGCCTCTAACTCTTGTTGATTGGATGGTTTGGTGGATGATCACTGCTCTAAAGCCTTATGTGAGCCAGTGTAGCCATGATAACGCAGCAATGCTCTCTGCAAACAATGAAACTCTGTGAAACACCATACTTTGAGCAATGTTTTGGTTTTAAGCCTCAGTATTGGTCAAAAACAGAATTAACCCTGTGGTTTCTATGAAATACAGTAGGTAAGATAATAGTTCTATGATAGATCCCATGATAGAAAAAAATAATTAAAGCTTATGGAGCTAATGACAGCTGTGACGTTGATATTTTGTTGTTTGTACAAGTGAGCTGTACTGTGTGCTGCATTTCAAACAGCAACAGTATCTGTTCCTGACATGATAAGTTTTGTTGGCAGACGCAGGTTGATGGTGTTTGCGTTAGGATTTTTCCGGGAACGTGGCTATGACCTGTTTGTGTGCACAGGATGAGCATCAATAGTCTGTAACTATTAGTTACTTAACAACTGCAAAACATCATGACATAAAACAGAAGTCCAGAATTATCAAACATTGAAATCAACCAAACACAATGGCGTCTGTTGAACAGTTACTCTCGTCTGTCAGCTGGTCACTGGGTGTTAACCAGTGAACTCTTTCACCAAGTCTAGTCTCTACTGTATGTAGGAAAAAGTCAGGATAAGTGAAAAATCAGCCGGAGACTCGGATTAGACGGATGTCGGTCTGTTTCTATTCTGATCTGGGAACTAATGCGTGGTCCCTCATTATAGAAAAGGGAAATGAAACACATGGCATGGCTGACATCATTACTGGCCCAGTGATTTGTGCTTCGGCTGGCAGAGGATGGAAATGTGGTGTGTGTGTGTCTAAGTGTGTGTGCACGTACCCACGTTCACAGAAACCCGTCCATTTGAGGTTTAGTGAGTCATTTCCACAGTTTAGCCTCTGTGGGACTTTTCAGAGCCTCATTTCAGAGTCTCATCTGAAAATGATGAGTTGCTGAGATTTTTATTTTCCACTCCCTCAGCTGGTACGTTTTTATCTAAACGTTAAATCTTAAATGTCCTCAGATGTGTGGGATTCGTGTTTATGGCCAGTCTGACTCAGCATGTCGTCTGGGTGTACAGTAGGGTGACAATTTTTGTTCCCATTTCCAAAAACCCCTTCAACATGGGAAACGACAGAGTCTGCAGCCTACACACTGTAGCTGACAGTGCAGCTGCAGCCAAGAAAATGTTTTTCAATTGGAATTAATATGAAGTTATCTGTAAAACTGTCAGTGATCAGTACCTACATTAATTGAATAAAGTTACACATTTGTATCCATGTTTGCCAAACTCTTTTTAGTCAGAGACACTAAACTGACCGGACTGTTGTTTGTTTTTGATCCTGTGATGGACGGATGAAATGGAATGCACTCTAGTGCCCCCTCAGTGAAACTAAACAGGATAAAGTATCCCAGTGGTTCCTAGATATTTGCTGCTTTTGCACTGTGACCCTTAGGGGCCTGTCCCTCAGTTTAGGAACCGCTGAAGTTAGATTTGAGCGAATAAAATAATGTTCATTATTTTGGATTTATACAGTATTTTCCACCTGAACAACTTCATCTTTTATTAGTGTAGACTGTCACCTATATGTCCAGCACTACATAAGATGATGGTAATTATTTTAGAAAGAAATTACAATACATTACATGCCGTGTTGATAATGGATGGATCGCAGATATTTTTTCTGGCACAGTTCATTCTTTAGATCTGTTTTTCTTAAATTCCAGATGTATCTGATTATGTTTTTGGCTGCAATTTGAAAAAAAGGACAAAATTATTGCCATGTTCTTTTTGATGATTTCCTGACATTTCCTCACAGTTGGATGCTGAAATATTGCAAGAGGAGGATATACATAAAAACAATCTTCAAACTCACCTCCCTAGTGTGTGTGTGTGTGTGTGTGAGAGTGTTGTTGTAACCTTGTACAAACCCATCAATGGAAAATATACGGGTTGGATTTTGGAAGTAGACACATCAGCAAGCAGAAAACAAATCATTCCTGATTCATGGAGTTTCCTCACACATTAATATTTGTGTGTCTGCTTTTCATGTTCGTGTCCATTTTATATTTCCAGTCAATGTCTTACTATCTCCGTGAGTGGTTTTAACATCATTGGTTTACGAGAAAAGAGCTGTGTGTCTGTTGGAACGCTTTTGTTTAACAGGAATGATGTTTTATCTGGGTCATTATCCAGACGGAGCGTAAACAGATCAGAAAATGTTCTCTAACCTGGAACTTCAGGTCAGGAACCTCCCACTGACTGGATTTAACCCCCTACAGTTCCTGGAACTTGGACTGTTGTTCTGTGTGTTTTTGTTAAAATGTTTTATTATAATGACTCAACACCTTTTCTTATTTTAACGCCCCTTCCCCCAGTTCACATTACAGAGAATGGCCAACTGTTTATGGGAACTACGTACTGTGGAGAAAATTTTTTTTTTTTTTTTTTTTTTTTTCTTTAAACCCCCCCCCCCCCCAAAAAAAAAAATCAGGTCGTTTTACTGAGTGGTCACCTGGACAGCTGGGATGTTGGCCAGGGAGCAATGGACGATGGAGGCGGAGCTATGATTTCCTGGGAGGCTTTGTCACTTATCAAGGACTTAGGTACTGTAGTAAAAAAAATGTAAATAAATAAATGAATAGTACATACAAATGTGCCAGATCTGAAAAATGAAAATCTGAAAGTAATTTTACTCTGTTATTTGCACTTTGAATGAACAGAAAATCAAATGTTTTGTAAGTTACTGTACCACATTAGAGACGTGTAACTGATGAATATTAGTTTGATGATGAAGCTGAGAACAAGCCTCAATTAAAAATAAAAACAGACACCAGACAAATACTGCAAATGAACCAAAGTGAACTGGAATATTTATACTTCCATTGTCTGTAGTACTTAATGACTGCCTTGAAGAAGGGGGAAAGGATTAAGTTCCAAACTTGGAGGAAACTTTTTGAGACGTTCCTCACACTGTAGATTGTAATTTTCAGTGACAGGGAGACAGTTATATAAAACAGACTGTGAGTCTACTACAGTCTTCTAGTAAACAGAAGAAAAATCCTCCAGATTGTAACTATTTTTCAATAGTCTGTGCTGTATGTAAAAAATTGCATACTAAAGAGAATGTTTATTTTTTTTGTACCAGTATAAAGATAATTTACTTCATTTTCAACCCCATAACTTTTACAGTTGTTTTTTTTTTTTTCATTTTCTCCAGGTTTGCGTCCCAGGAGAACTCTCCGTACAGTTCTGTGGACAGGTGAAGAGCAGGGTGGAGTCGGAGCTCAACAGTACTTTAATCTACACAAGGTACCGTTTAGTTTTACTGCGCTACTTAAGTGAGTAGAAACCACACGGTAACAGCAGTAAATCACATGTGGTTTTCTGCTCCAAAGGGAGCCAGAGGAGTCGCACCGCTTTGTGAAAGTATAGACTGTAGCAGTCTGTAGGAGTGGAGAACCGGAGAGGCCTTGGCTGACCACCAGGGTTTTTTTCCCTGCACAAAGGATGTAAACATCATTCTGCAATCTCACAGTTTCCTTCTTTAGAGATCTGGCCATTTACCAGACTGAGCTCCACAATAAACTTCATTCTCAGAAACTAAGGGTGCAGGATTACTGCTTGTTTGTACAATTTTCAACAATTTACCCTAATTCCCAGGTTCCTATATTAGAATTATACAAATTATACACCAGGCTATGTATAATTAGAATTCAAATGACTTCTGGTAAGGCAACTGTAATTGCAACTGCGACCGTTTCATTGAGAGTGTTTGAAAACAGAAGAGCCTAAACTTGTACTTGAAGATCCCATTGTCTTTGTCTGACATTTGTATTGTTTTTACTCCAAAAAAAAAAAAAATCCCAATAGACAAGTTTTGTCTCTCACTTCCTGTGTCTTTCTGTTGTGCACTTCCTGTCCTCACTCAGGTCAACCTGTCCAACTTTGACCTTGTCATGGAGTCTGACCTGGGCACGTTCACACCGGTCGCTTTGCAGTTCACTGGAAGTGACTCAGCAAGAAAGGTGGGACTGAAACACAACATAATCCTACACTCACCACAGTACATTAGGTTAGTGATGAAGTAAAGGGTCACACTGTTTCCTGACAGTGGCACCAGTTTCCCCTAATCTGGACTTTCTCAAAGATAATTGTATGTTCCCACGCCAAATTTTTTCCAAGTGTGTCTGCGTGTTTGTGTTACTCCTACAGTCCTTTTATATTTAAATCTGCATCTTTTATGTCTAAACCAGTGGTTTTCATTTTTTTTTGGCTTGGGATTTGATTTTGACATCACAAAATGTCTCTTTCTCGCCACCAGAGAGACAGAGACATTTTGTGATGTCAAAATAATTTAGTAGCTCTCACTTGAAAAGTCATGTGATCACAGGTGTCAATAAAGATGTGACAGCACAGATACTGTAGAATATAGAAATAACCGACTGCTCACATCCTCAGTTTTCTCTGAGGTATTATTTCTGACCTGGTCAAATCTTGTTTGTTGGTTCTTTATTTAACAGGTGATGGAAGAGGTGGTCCAACTGTTGGCTCCCATCAACACGACCAAACTGGAGGCACATGGAGAAGGGACAGACATATCACCATGGATGCAGGCAGGAGTACCAGGTCAGTTGATTTGTCTCTGTCTGTAACCAGCGTTGTCAAAAGGAAGTGGTCATTCTTTCTTCCTCTAAATGTGGTTTTCTTCAATAATCGTTTTTTTTAGGAAAGTGCTGCATCCACAGAATCACATCCTTTTCGGTGACTTATATGTAATTAAGTAAAGCTGGGAAGTCGGGGAAACTTCAAGTTAACTTTAACTTCTGTTCGGAAGTGAAACCATTATCAGATCAGATATAAAACCTCTTTGTCTTCAGCCGTACATTTGACATTATGATATTTGACATTTTGAAAAGTGACCTTATGAACAGAAGTGTTTGGCACACCTTACAAGAACGAACCCCAACCAGAAAATCTTGTTTCTGTAGCTGAACCAAGATCAAATTGTAAATAAGCAGCATTTTAACTGGGGCTGTGCTGACAGTTTTCCTACAATAAAAGAAACCCCTCAATATATTGTTGTGTCTATAGTATTACAGTATACTGCAATATACCTGTATCACAAACACACCACACCACTAATCTAAACTCATGTCATTGAAATAAGGGTGCTTTATTTTCTCCATAGTGTGTACTGTTTAGTATCTGTGATTAAAAGTTCAAAAGTCACCAAAGCCGGTTTCATAGTTTAATGCCTGCCTCCTCTCGTCCAGCTGCCAGCCTCCATGTGGCCGACAGTCGCTACTTCTGGTTCCATCACAGTGAAGGTGACACCATGACCGTTCAGAACCCTCAGGACATGAACCTCTGCTCGGCATTGTGGGCCGTTGTTGCGTATGTCGTGGCAGACCTGGAGAAGATGCTTGATAGGTAGCTGTTTAGGAGAAAGGGTTTCAACCTGCAGTAGATGAGGTGAGTTATCAGAGCCACTGGTTGGTTTTACATGTAAAGACTTTTTTTTTAAAACCCCCTTTTTTTTGTAAAACCCTGGCTTAAAGAAAAAATGAAAAAATGATAACCTTGAGACTCAGTTACAACATCAAGTGAAATAAGTCTTACACATATCACAGCAATTCTTAATAATGTCTCTATAACTACACAACAGTCTACTTTCAACTGCAGTATTATTTCTGTTTTTTTAATGCTTTATTTGTGTTATATTGAACATCATAGGTTGGATAAAAATTATATATTGGGGTTCTATGATCATCACTGCTAAATAATTATTACAGAGACACAATCCATGTATTCAACATTCAACAACTACAGTTTTGCTGCTGTACAAATCTGGTCCTCTGAGGATTTCTTTGTGACTTTTCTGTTAAAAGTTGAGTGTATTACAGCACAACTGCAAACCTGTTTATTTTATACTTAACACGTGACTTTCTTCTCTTTAATTTCACTGAATTAAAATGGTGTACAAGCGAAACCCCTCAGATCTCAGTGCAGTCCCATGACCGTACCACCAACACGTGATAAGATGTTCCCATGCTGTGGTGATGTGGCTGTTCACAAAGAGGAAGAGTGACACAACACAATTCACTTTGTGTTTGTTTCCTTGGAAATGGAAATGTGGACAAGGAGGTGGAATAGAGAAGCAGAAGGAAACAAAATGACTAGAAAGAATTATTATTAACATTAACAAATATACACAGTAGAGGAGAAGCTGACGCAAACCATCATTACTCAGGCGCCGTGTGGACCAACGAAGGTTTCACAAACACATTTTCAGAGCAAGGACTTCTTTACTCCAAAGACTTGATAAGTGAATGCTCCCTGCAGATGATGTCAGGGTGAGTCACAGATAAAGTCATGTCCAAAAACGCAGACCATGTCTGTGTTGAAACAACGTTGCGTAGTTTCACTGTCTGTCACGCTCATAACACACATTAAGACACACAGTTGTCTTAGAAAAGAATGGGGCTCATAGTGAATCACACACACACATACATCACTGCCTCCTATGGACAGCAAACAGTAAAAATTCCCTTGTTCCCGGTGATCTGTTAAGTGCTGAGGAGAACAAGCGTCGCGTGTAAAATACATTGACCATTCAGGCCAGTTCTTCTCATTAAATTCAAACATATATGTAAAACATATTGTATGATGTAGTAGACATGCACTAAGAAACAAGTTAAGGTGAAATAAAGGCGGGAGTATGTGTAAAAAGCATAGGTTAGCAACTAAATTATAGCACGAAGGAATGAGTGAATGACGTAGTGTCTCTTGGCATTGACATTTTTATGTATCTCCGATCAATTGATGGCGTACGTGTATTTCCATTAAATTTTAATAAATGACAACAGGATTATTTGTCTATACTATACAGTACGGATACGTGCTACAGTGTGATGACTGAAAGGTGAAGATGCTGAGATTTGTATGTAGAGTGGCTGGAAGTGACGTAGAGAGGTTGGAGACAAAGTTAAGGGACATGTGCCGAGGAGAGAAAGTGTAGAGTACTGGACACAGGACGTTGAAGATGGAGCTGTCAGAAGGGAGGAAAGGAGGAAGATGACGTTATGGAGGCTATAAACAGAGTTAATTAAAAAAAGGTTAGGGAGGCAGTAGTAAGAATGAGATGGAGACAGATGGCCTGATTTAAGACTGCTGAAAAGGGCGGCCGGTGGAACACATCAGAATGAGACTGACGACGTTTCAAAGGACTCGGCAGTTCTACATTTTCCCAAAAGTAGTTTCTGTACTTTTGTGAACAGAGCTTTCATATAATTGAAAAGGCTGCCACCTTGTGGACAAATTACAGCACGAAACCAGCATTATACTACGTTAATCTCAGAATTTAATGCTGGAAATGAAGTGAGATGAAATTCAGAAGTGAAAACACCTGCATCTGTATTAAATTTGAAAATTAAAAACACAAGGAAACAAAGACATACCAAATATATATTGAAAATCACTTTATTAACATCATGTTAAAACTGATGAAAGGATATATTTTTAATAGTTAAACCTAACGTGATTATCTGCAACAGCTGTACAAGACAGTATATCAACAAATACCTATACTGCCACCAAGAGTTTTCTGAAGACAAGTACAAGAACAATAACTTTAACACACTTATGAGGACACTGAAAACAAACAAACAGATTCACAATTGTAGTTGTAACTGTGAATCGATTCAACAGTCAATGTGTTCAGGTGGCTACAGGTCTTCTGGAGTTAAAGACTTTAATCCCATTTTGCACTGATGAGCGAGCATATTTTGTGAGGAGGGCTCCAGTGGTCTGCTTCTCTCCACACAGGTCTCTGAAAAGGAAGAAAATGTGATATTAGAAGGCAGCAAAGCATTTGTGTTACGTCCAATGATATAATGAACCACATGATATTTTAAAATGTGTGATTCGTTAAACCCACTGTATATATGGTGTGATGTCGTCTTCTGTCCACTTCTCTCTGAGTGTGAAGAGGTGGTTAAAGCGTTCCACAGTGTCTTCTGGGAGATCGTCCACTCGAAGCAGACAGATAGTCTCAGGGTTGGACATCCGGTCAACCAGGGCCAGGCTCTGAAAGGTTAACAACACCGTCAACAGTTCTGTGTTTACATTCTCTGTGAGGTCAGTCAGTAGGATTTAGACAAGGGAAATGGACACAGCGCTTTTTGTAACAAAAATGCAAGACTGTACAATGTACAGGAAGACCAGTACAGTACAGTACAGTACAGGACATATTGACGTACTCTCAGCTGGTCCAGTCTGGTGCTCATACCCTCAGGGACACTCTGCTGCCAGACTTCCTGAAATTCCCTCAAGTTGAACTTGACAGCATTCTGCAGCAGCAGCTGTGCCAAACCTCGACAGACTTTATCTTCATGCAGTGAATAGAACACGTTGTCTAGAGAAGAACAAACAACACAAACTTTAGGGTTTCAAAGATTATTTAAGGTAAAATGATCAGTTATATTTTTAATAACTTCTTTTTACCATTTTCTGTGTAACGTTTGCCATAGCAGCTCAAACAATGCTCAATCATTGCTCTGTGAAAAAAAGAAACATTTTACAGTAAATAACATGCAATTTTTAGCTTAATGCAATTTTTAATTTTTTCTTGTTCTGACTTCCAGTCTTTCAGGGAAGAATTTTTAGCTTGATTTGTTTGTCATTCTGAACTGGAGAAGCTGAAACTGAAGATCATATCATTAAGGTTTATAATATAAAGAGCTAATTCAGCATTTTACTGTATTGGTAAAATAGGATTATACTTAATTAACTTCAAAAATGAAATGAAAATTGCAATCAATTTGTTAATTTTTAGACAGACAAAAAGCAAGAACTAAAAGCAGGAACAAATTCATTTCAGATGATAAGTCAATTCCATTAAATAGAGTTTAAATGACTATAGATTTCAGCCGTTCCTAAACCTAAACTTACCTCGGCTCCAGTGGTTCTAACTCTTCTAGTGTGGTCTGAAGTGGAACCTTATCAATGGGCCAGGACTCAGAATCCACCAGCTGAGTTATGTGACCGAGCAGCTTCATTTCATAGTCAAAGTCCAGGACTCGCCAGAAGTATGGAAGATAAAAAAAAAAAAAAAAAAAAGACGCTCTAACATTTTGACCGATACAACTGGCAGTTATTGGTAGAGAATTAGTTAGACAACAGTCACAGATTACCATCAATCTGACAGACGTGGATTGTCTCTAGGTGAGCCTTAATTTCCTCTTCACTGGCCTGGATCCTCTCCAGCAGATCTTCCATTGTATACTGACAATCAAGAAAGAAGGAGGTTTTCATTAAGAGCTATGAAACACACAAGCATAAGAACCATTTATAGATTTATATAAATATATAAGATGTAATCTGTTGTAAATTGTAAGATGATTTTGTACATTAAAATTTCAAAGTAAATTCTTTGCACTCAAACATTTTTGACCCAAGGATGTTATTCATTCTTGCAAACAGAAAACAAACATATCCAGGGTGTAGTGTTGAGAATAAATATATATGTTTTACTCTGTTTTCTGTGATTTCCTCCTGTCCTCCTAGAGCAGGTCCTTCATACGGATTCTCCATTAAAAGCTTTGTCAGTTTCTTCAGTTTGGGATGTCTTTTTCTCAGTTCCCAGTAGCTGTTACAGAATCCCCACACCTACAAGACGGTATGATCACTTCATTCACGTAGATCTGATGTTACATCCAGATTTATATTGGGTTTATGTAGGTGTTAGACTGGATGTAAACATATTTTAACTTCCTTACCTGTGTGTGAACCACCTGCTGACTGTCCTGGTTATTAGGAAGTTGGTCTGGAGTTTTGCATCCTGGCAAAAACAGCAGCAGGTTGGAGGTGTCTGCTATTTTCAGATCATAGGTTTTATCACCACTGCAGAGAACTGCATGTTCATCTTTATCTCCCCGGATCACAAGGCTGAAAACAAAGTGCATTTAAATTGTTTTCCAATCGTCATCAGTATCATTAACATTTATATTTTTCTTACTTATAACCTGCACCAATGCACTGCATATTTTGATTTGGATATATTAGTGATTTTTTGTGTGCTGATGTTCCTGATAGGTTACAATAACTTAATGGTTTTAATGTCCTCACTAAATGCTCCTCTACAGTGAACCCACCTTTGTCCAGTTTCTATGTGTTTGCACAGTGTGTCGTCCAGCTCCAACAGACAGTAATCTGCAGAAGACACATTCTCCCCAAAAGACAGACAGTGGATGGTTTCCTGTAGGTCCTCTTCTTTCAGTTTAGCGATCTGTAACGTGGCCTGAACCTCCTCTAAAGTTCGCATTTTAACTCAGACAAAGTTAAAATCGATAACAAACAAACAACTGTTTTTTAAACAGACTGTGTCGTATGTAATGCTCGGCGACTGTCAAGATTCCCCGCGCTTCACCAGACGTAGACAGGAAGTTGTCTGGGGGGCGGAACTACGTAAGAGTCCGTCGTTATAATATGATCGGTAAGAAATATGTTCTTGCTTACTTATAAACACTCGGTTTTATCTAACATAATACATATTAAACGTAATATGAACCTTATACCTTATATGAACCTAAATATATTCAGTACTGACTATTTTTACATGTGTATATTGTTGTTTTATGTTACTGTATTCGCGACATAAATGAGAACAGGAAGCGCCGCTCGGCTTTGCTTATTTCAACCAGACACTGCTACTGGACGGACCGTCGCTCACGCTGGGGGTCAAATGTTTTGAGGATGTGCTTGTAAAGTCGGGAAAATGTCAAATTTCTCTAGAACGGCTCAGGTAATATTCCATATAATGTGTTATTTTTGTAAGTGACCTATATAATTTGTCATCCCATCTATAATATTTAATGTAATAAGCGTCAATAGGTACATTTACAGTCATTGCTAATACAATGCTAGCTAGCATATCCGTGGCTTGAAGCCTCATAAAAGTGGCTCTTAGTGGTTATCAGATTTACATAATGTTATATTCTTGGTCACCACTCTTTAATGTATTTTGTTGTTATTGATATTGATATTTGTGGCAGAGGCATTTTTATGTTCTTGTAGATGCCGTTATAGAAATGTTTTAGACACGCGAGCGTAGTGAAAACGGCGTAGACGAGAGGCCGCATCTAAAGGTTGAACTGAAAAAAAGCATTAAATTACTTTTAAATGTTTTGTGTGGCGCATTGGGTCGTGTAATTTGATGTTTATGATAGCACCAGTTTAGTCTTTCAAGGACTCACGACATCCTCGTTTGAAATAAGCGATAACTCAAGCAAATGTGTTGATTCATCATTTGAGAACTACAACTTTTAATGTAATAGCTGATCTTGAACAAAATATCTTTGTAAGTTCAAGTTCACGACGAGTCTGCCCAGACATTTATATGCTTGTTGGGTAGCATAAACACTTATTAATTGTATATGAATTACATCATGATACAACAATCTAAACATATGGGATTAAAAAAACAATCTTTACCAAATAAAAATAATATGAAATGATCAGTATTTCCAGCATTTGGTTTGTCGCACATGCATATGCTTTTTTTAAACAAATACACTAATGAAAATATTGAATTAACATGAAGAGATGTATATTAATAGTATATTAATAATAATAATAATAGTAGTAGTAGTAGTAGTAGTAGTAGTAGTAGTAGTAGTAGTAGTAGTAGTAGTAGTAGTAGTAGTAGTAGTAGTAGTAGTAGTAGTAGTAGTAGTAGTAGTAGTAGTAGTAGTAGTAGTAGTAGTAGTAGTAGTAGTAGTAGTAGTAGTAGTAGTAGTAGTAGTAGTAGTAGTAGTAGTAGTAGTAGTAGTAGTAGTAGTAGTAGTAGTAGTAGTAGTAGTAGTAGTAATATATATAGTTTAATATATATATATATATAAATATAAGTTACTTGAACAATTTTACTAATGTGTAGGGTGTCTTTTGATACATTTTTACTATATTATACTTTAGTATAAAGATTGGTTGTTGTTTACTCTGTTTCAATAAAAGTAATTTATATTAAATGATATTTTTTATATCAATTTCTTCATATATTTTTTGAATAAATAAATAATATATAGGTCAGTATAACAGTCTGGCTTTGCGGTTAACCTCCAACTAATTCTTCCTTTTGAGATTCATTGTCTCTGCTTTATCTTACTGATTTTTCTGTGGGTGTTTTAAAAAAAAAACTTGTAAATATCAGATACTGAGATTCTAAATATAATCTTATACCTGAAACTGTACTAATTGTTGCGTCCTTTCTGTTTTTATTTTCTTCCAGCAATGGGCATCATTCGCCCGCTCCTGGTTTTTAATCGATGCTCGAATGCAGCCTCCAGGAAAAATAGCAAGCATGTGTTCTGTGAGATTACAGGGGAAACACAAACCGATTTATCACGCAATCAGTGAGTATGAACAACCGTTCAGCTGCGACATTATATCATAGAACTACCACAGGATGGCAGCAGTGTATCATTATTTAAATTACGTTCTTTCCATCTCTAATCTCAGTACATTTACCCAACTGATCGGGACCTAGTTGTCTCTATGATTGACTCATAACCGTAATCTCATGTTATTGCAGGTGATTTAGGAGACCACGTGGTTGTAATAAACAGCAGACACATTGCTTTCTCTGGAAACAAGTGGGAGCAAAAGGTTTATTCATCACACACGGGGTAAGTGTCCACTTACTACTAACATTGACGTTTTATGTTGAATATACATTTGTGTTTATTTAAATAAAGCTGATAGTTACTTCACAGTGGTTTCATAAACTCAGACACATCCTGGTCATCAGCCATAATGCTATGTAAAAATACTGTACATTTCTTTTGTAATGTCATATAATTTATCATACATTTAAATGCCTTGCATAGCTTTCTTTCTTTTCATATGGAATCACAGAGTTCAGAACAGTGTACAATACATCTCCAACACCTCTGCTGTTTATCAAAAAGAACAATCTTGTCTTTTCTCATAGGTATCCAGGCGGATTTAAACAAGTTACTGCAGCACAGTTGCATCAAAAAGATCCAAAAGCTGTAAGTTTAATTTATTTATTTTTTTGCTACTGTTATTACAAAATTATATCCTGTGCTATTATCCACCATTTGACCTGCACTGAAACTCACGTAGTCAATGGAAAAACAGTGAAACGACCAGCCTGTGTGCTAGCCATTGATGGCAGATGCTGCTTATTATCTGTTCACCGGTTCCTATAAGACCTTGACAATTGCATGCACATACTCCCTGTTTCTGAGTTTCCGTTAGGCCAGATAATCTCACAGGTGGCAATGGTACTGAAGTCAACTTGCCCCCAATTATATTCTTGTACACACACACAACTGTATCCAACACACTATAAATATAACTTGCACTCACTTGCAACTTGCGCTCTGTGAGACCTGCGCTTGAGCTTCATTAAATGTTCAATAACAACTTTCTATTTAACTCTCAATAAACTCTATAAAATCAACAACTTTGTTCATTTCCGTTTTATTCTTTATTCCAAGGTGACTTGACAAAATTGCCAAAACACAACTACGTCAAAAATTGCTTTGCTGTTATGGCTGTACTGTTGATTTTCTGTTTTCATCTGTAATGTTATGATTTTAACCCACATTCTGAGGGATTAACATAATTTCTGTGGCTGCTACATGCTGTGCAGAAGATGGAGTTACATTTTGACAGTTATCCTTTCCCTCATGCTGTATCTTCTGCTTGTGCATGTTTGTATAAAGTGCAAGAGGCAGGGATTAAACAGCAGTGGATTTACAGTGGTTCTGGTGAAACGCAGTATGACACTGTCAGGTCAAAGATGGTTCTGCTGGTCTTGGTTGTCACATATATTCATGGTTTCAGGATTTGTTGTGTCACATGCATCAAAGTATGTTCTCTCGTACACAAGATATTAAAATTAAAATAATTGATTGTAATAACTTAATGTTTAAACTGTCGTCAACAAACCTCTACTCTCATGATTTTGTGTAAATAGGTTTATATCTCAAATGGATAGAAACTGGCTATATAAAGTAGGAACTCATTAGGTTAAGTCAAGATACAAGAAACGTTATTTAGCATCCTATTACTCAACGTGACAGTCCCTAGTTTTCTATTGTTCACAGAAATTATAGAAGTTTTTAGTCTGTCTCTGATCTTTGGATGCAAACGTGTTTTTATGGGAAAACTGAAACTACAATATAATCTCTGACATACAACAACTTCACAAGAGTCTGCAAACTATTGTTTTAGTGATGTCATCTTTAAATCCCATGTCCCTTATTTAGAAGTGCTCTGTGGTAGATGTAATATAAATTATAATTACACAATTTCTTTGGTGCAGGATCTGTGTTGGCTGCAAATCTATATTCTACCAAAGCAGGAGAGACATGCACTCTAGTCCTGGCTCTGTGCTGATGTGGGTTTTAGTCCAGTCTCTAACCACAGACGTGTGTCCTGATGGTGGTTTAGTTTAAATGAGTTTTGGACGGTTGGAAAGAGAGAGAAGTGAAGAAATGGAATTTGACAGATGAATGGTTTGTCGGCACGGTCTCTGTCCAGCATTTCTCTCCAATATATCTGCCCAGCAGCTCATTCCAGAAACTCTGTCCAAGCTCAATTCACATTTTAGCTTACATTAAAAAAAAACACATCGAGTGGGAAGCAAATGCAAGAAAAATCTGTGAAAATGTTGTACTCAATATTTTAAGGTTGTTTTTTTTTTTTTTTGAAAAAAAGATGAATTAACTTTATGTTACAAATGTGCTTCTTTTCCACAGATTGTGAAGTTGGCAGTTTATGGCATGTTACCCAAAAATCTGCACCGGCGCACCATGATGCAGCGATTACACATCTTTCCTGATGATGTAAGTCCTGGTTGTTATCTCTCAGAGCTGACAGGTTTACAGACACTCCGCAAACAACTCAGTCTTCCGGGCTTATCATGGAGAAGCAGAAATGTGTTCCGTTATTGTGCCGTATTTCTGCTGATATCCGTGAAGTGTGAGGCAACTTTTATTTGATTTTCCATGTCAGGTATTTGACATTTCTGGTGCTCTACGTGCATAGTTAGTACTCTGTATGTCGAGGTTGAGGCAGGTTTAACGAGTTAACGCAAATTACTAAATGTTACTTTTATGCTAAAATGGTACTTATTTTTAATTCGGCGCACGCACCGTCTGTAATTTCACCGACGTAGATTGGACAAAACAGGAAGTGAACCAGCAATGTCATAGTAACATTTGGATAGAAGGAAGAAACATGGATTATAATTAATATATTTAAAAAATGGGGAATTCAGCAAACCACTACTTAACGATACTTTATTACTGTTGACCTGAACTGCGTTAATACCGCAGTACGTTGATGCGGTTATATGAACAACTCCTGAAAAACGAGTCTCTGGTCTGTTCACTCCGGTAGGCATTTCCTTCAAGACTGTAACAGGCTGAAGGAATTAGTTTGATATGATTCAGTTGTTTGTATGTCTTTCTAAAGTTAATGTCTTAATATTCTACCTTTAAGTTGCTCCAATAACGGTGTCATGTACTTTTGTGTTGATGAAGCCTCCTCCCCTGACACTGCAGCGTTTTTATTCCTTGTTCCCTGTTGTCATCTTTGAGCTCACATTAGGGTTTGGAGATGACAGTTTAGAGCTGATGTTTAGACTCACTGCTCTCAGGCTGTGTCCAGGTGCAGCAGACAAACTCTGATAAAACCGTGCTCCACCTGCAGAGCAGCAGATGTTAGACACTGATAGTGGGGCATTTATCTGCAAAACAACATCATATTTTTACACTCTTTGTAGTAAAAAAACAAAAAGCTTTTAAAGTGACAGCCTATTAATTGAATGTCATGGTTCTTAATTTAATGGATGTGAGTTTTTTCACCTGAGAGCAATAAATCCATAATGGTGTGACCGTAGGAGGAACTCTGGTAGATGTGAAAATTCCTGGTTGAACCTGTGACCATTTTTTTTTACTTGACATATTTTAAAACTCCGCTTCAGCGAGTTAGTCATGAATATTAATGTGAGCCAATCTGTCCAACCTTGGAGAATGATGTATTTTCCTCAAAGTTTTCTTGAAGTATATCTGAGTAGTTCTATTTAACGCTGTAAAAGTTCCCTTCTACATCCTCAGCATCCTCTTCACGTCAGCTCTCTGCACTTCACTTTCTCGCCTCATTTCTCTCCGTTCCTCTTTAATTCCGTGTCCTTTGTAAAACTCTGTTCCTTTGCCTTCGCTCACCAGGAGCTGCCGGAGGACATTCTCGCAAACCTGACGGAGGAGCTGCAGCAGCCCAGGGAAATCCCCAGGAAACTCAACGAGTACACGCAGGAGGAGAAAGATGCCTTCCCCAGGGTCTGGACACCGTATGTACAACACACAGGATAAAATTGAACTGTTTTACTCCTATTTTTCTGAAGTCCCTGAATGCAGCAATACATAAATTGGTGCCATTGGTGACAGTTTTTATTTTTTAAAGTGGAAGTTGTTTTGGTTCCTGTAGATTCACCACAGTTTTAAAATGAGTGTTTGAAATTGTTGGTTTGGGTTTAAGTCTTGGTATTTAAGTTATTATTGGTAAAATATCTTCTAATTTCAAGTTCTTGGCAAATCTTGGCAATCTTTTACAGTTATCATTAATTTTGGTGCTACTGAAGAGATTCTGAAAATGTGTTGAATTTGACCTTGGTGGTTCTTGTAGGGTCATTTCTGGGTCACCGTCACGCCAACTTAATCAGTTGTTGTTACTAACTGTGGGCTAAGTATTAGCACTTGTGGTAACTAAGTTGACTTGAGCTATAATTGGTATAATAATTGGGAGGTGTATTGTCACTATTTGAGGCTACTCCTTAGCTACTTCTGAGCTAATCTTTAGTTTTGTTTACCTGATTTATTTTAAACATTTACTGTTTTTGTCATTTTGAGGCTGTTGGCTTTTTCTCGGCTAACATTTAGTTCTCTTTTCTTGCTTGTATTTCTTTATGGCTATTTCTAACAATAAGCTAGGTTATGGCTAACCTTTAGTAACAACTCTGAGCTACTTTGTTTTCCTTATATTTACTTTATGTAGAGGGAATGTAGACAGTGACAAAACAAGCTAAATGTTTCTTTGAACACACAAACGTAAGCATCTTTTAGCTTGAAACTTAATAAGTAAGAGTTTAATAATCTTTTTATTTTTATTTAAATGAACAACCGATAGGGGGGCGGTGTTAAACAGAGTACCCACCTCACAGAGTTTTTTTCCCTTAACAAACCTTCTGTTGTAATTCTTTCATGACACTTTTGACTTTTGCAGCCACAGTTATGTCTGTATAAACAAATACTCCTTCACTGCGTGATACATTTTGTCTGAGAGCAACAGAAGATTTTTACATTCAGATGAGTTTGATGTTTAAAAGCCACAGATGTTGGGATTCCAACCAAGTCTCCTTTTCTCTCTCTCTTACTTGTGTCCAATGGAAGTGTTGACTCTAGAGTTTGTGACATGTCACCTATAATTAACAGGGACAGTGCAATTTTTATGTTAATGAAGACGCTGGGTTTGCGCTGCTCCTCGTCTGCTCTCCGTCAGTCGTGCGGCGCGTGTTGTTTTCATGGTCTTATTAAGCATCTTATGCCTCAGTAAATCCAATTCAACCGCCTCTGCTGTTCAACCACTTTGTCTCTGACAGAAAATGAGACCCAGTGTTTTTTCATGGTAACTACAAACACGTGTGGCAGTGGTGTTGATGCTGCTTCTGCCAACAGAGACATGTAGTCTGGCATGTAGTGTCGCAAGGAAATTCACTTTTGTGTCAATAATGAGAACTCGTTGTTGATGAAGGAAATTTTTTGTTGAACCAAGACTACGAATATGAATATTTACATGTTAATTGCTACTAAAAAATTGATAGTGTAATGTATGTAGTGTATGTAATATCCATACAGTATTGTTAAATTGGATCACGCTCCACAGCTAACTAATCAAATTTCTTTAATTAAAATGATTTTAATAAAATAAATTTAAAATCAGAGGCAATTTGATTAAATGTGAAACTTTATGTATGTGTGATAAATGTCATTTTTACATTTACTTGTGTCACTGTTACTAACTCGTTGGCCTCTCACTGCCTTTAGGCCAAAAACGTCTCGTTTCATCTGTGATTCTGTGTCTAACCTTTGAATATAAACAGTAAAATGTCACTAACACAGCGGGGGTGGGGGTGCGTGGGATTCATCCCCATTGTTTAGATGTACAAGGTTGTTTTCATGTGTTTTCATTTGACTTAATCATATTCATGGAATTTTCTGAGTGAAGTGTTTCATGGTTGAAGACCGGCCTGACCTTTTGACCTACAGATTTTTTTTTTATATATTGAAGTTGCACGGTTGCCGTCAGTCAATCAATAATGTACAAATAAACTCATGTCATTGCATCTAAAGCCAGAGCTAAGATTAGAATTAGGGTTAGATCAGAGTTGGTGTACAGATTAAGATTAGACCTGTATTTCCTCAAAGCATGTCTTTTGGTAGAATATAACAAAAAATCACTTTAGTTAAACTGTGTGTGTGTGTGTGTGTATTGATAGATGACACTCCTCAGCCAATGGCTTTGTTTGCTCAGACCTTTTCTGTGTGATCATCAAGGTCAGGCCAGTCCTGGTTCATTTACGTGATGATGGATCTCAGCCTGGTTAATATTCCTCTGCACTTTGTTGTATTCCTTGCACAGATCGTACGTGTGTGTGTGTGTGGAGGCTGAGTTAAGATCAGCACGGGTGATGAAACTGCCGCCATTTTCTAAACAAAGCTAATATTCCTTTAGATAAAGCTTGAAACAGGAGAAAGAATATAATCTGTTGATGCTGAGATTATCCTTTAACTCAACATGTTTCAACCTCCACATGTAGTTCTGATGATTGGAGGACGAACTGGAGTGACCGTTTCTATGGTGTTAGAACCTCACGGTGACCACGCACACACAGACGTGCAGAAAAAAAATGAGTTGGTGTAAAAACAGCCCTGAAGACAACAGTAGCTTTATTACACTCGATAATATTTGTCTGCTTTGGATCACAACAAATACAGCATCCTTTGATAACATCAGTAATCTCCGTGTGAAAATTAATGTTTAAAAAAAAAACCAGCGTGGCGTCCACAGCTTCTGGTCTCATTTTGAAAAGAAGAAATGATAAAAATCTGTCTGCCGTCTATGCCCTTGTTTTTCCTTCCATGTTTTTCCTCCTCATTGTAATTGCTTCTTTTCCAGACTTTTATGATTCCCTTTTACTAATGTTTTTTTTTCCTTTTTTTTCTTTGCAGACCGGAGGACTACTTGCTGAAATGAAATTGAAGCTGGGTGCTGTGATCACAACAGAAGGTTTTCTTATTATTTCATCACTGAAGCCTGTGGTTTCCTCAAACATATTTAGTCACATGTTGCAGGACACTTTGGTGCGAAGGGAAGTGGTTTCACTGATTTTTTGTTTTTTAATCAAACCATTTGATTAAGCCAGGAGTCTCCAACCTGTGGCTCCTGAACCACATATGACCAAAATGAGCCTGACTAACTAATACATCAGACCAGAGTTATAGGTGGAGAACAGAAACAGAAGGAAGAAGCTGTTATGGTTAAACTAAATTATCTTGATGCTAACAGCAAAACAGCGTAATAGCACTGTCCTCTTATCTCAAAGTGAGGTGTGAGTATACTTTTTGTACTTTACTACAGTACTTAAACCTCCATACACCTCAGTACAGCCATCATTTGCCATAACATTATTTTGCTCTCACTCTAATTGTTAAAATTATTTTTTTAAATGGCTCTTTTGGTGTTGATGGTTGAAGACCCCTGACTTAAATCATTAAAGAACAGACAGTATTTCTGGCACTGAATAAAATGGTGTCTGTTTTGACTGTGATGTCTCTGTAAACAAACCTAAATAATCAACATGCAGCTCAGATTGTGTGTAGGTTTTTTTCCCAGTGATTACAAAACCAGAGCAGCTCAGATCTGGTCTATAAAAAGTGACATCTTTCAGAGCGGATCCTTCTTTTAAAGGTTCGTGACTTCACAGCAAAACCAATTAATGTGTCTCCATGACAGCAATGAGGATTTTACTGTGCTTTGAGAAGGAAATGTTAACTTTGATCACATAGCCCTGAGGGTTTCACATTTGTTTGTGTGCTTTCCAATTTCCAATTTGTTTTTGTCAAAAATTGTGCATTTTCTAAGTTGTAATGTGTACAGTAAAGAATCTAAAATACTAGCAAACAGTTGTTTTTGTGTTTCTAGATATAAGTTTAGAAAGAAAATGCAGTTTCAACATTTTTTTGGCAAGCTGAAGCTAACAGGCATCTTAAAGCGTAGCCAACGTTAGCATAGAAAAGCTGTAGATGAGGCCTCTTGGCAAAATGTGTTGAATTTGCAGTAGCAGAACATTTTCCAAGAACAGCTACAGTTATTTCTGGGAAGATCAAGAAATAAAACAGAGATCTCTCAATACAGATTTATTTGGTTATAAAAGCAAACAAAATAAAGAATAAATAAGGTCGTACTGAACTGAGGGGCATGTTGGTAAAACATTTCATAACAAACCTAATACACCAGGCCTGGCTCAGGGCTAAACTTTAGTTTTAATTTTTTAAGTTGCAGTGCAAAAGAGAAAGTTTGTCGCTGGGTTAAGTCCCTACAGACGATGCAGAAGATTGTACAAAAAAATGGTTTTCTTACAGCGTGAGGTCAGAGCTCAGCCAAAGAGAAAACAGTTTCCACAGTGAACAGGCCCAACTTTGCATAAGAACAACAGAGATGAAACAGAAACAAAAGAGCAGCAACACAGAACGAAAATGTTACAGATTCAGTTGATTAAAAAAAAATCTAATCTTTGATTGAGTCGCCTGCTTCTGTAGTTGCTGCACTGAAGTAAAATGTTCAGCCCAAAGGTTATCCAAAGGACTTTTTTTCTCTACTCAACAAAAAAATGATTTGTGCTCCACAGTGTTAAAGATGAAAAATGAAACATTATTTTTTTGTTTTTGTTTTGGGGTCGTTAAAACAGCTTAACACAAATACTGCTAAGGAAAAGTTTACTCAACAAAATACTGTCTGGACGAAGCACCTAAGAAACGTTGTTCATGTAACACACTGACACAGGGAGGGACACAGAATCCATTGTTATAAAAGCAGCCTGTACAAATTTGAACAGCCCATATGCAGCGGTGTAAAATATTCAACTAAAAAGAAAAAAAAAGTTTAAAATCAGCTCAAACCAAAACACAGTTTTCCAGTTCCACACTCTGGTCGGCTCATAGAGACATGCAGCTTCATACAGACTTGTGCTGAAATGAGCTTGATGGGAGAAAAAAAACCCAGTGGACATAAAGATGATATACCGCTGTTAAAATACCAGGTTTTTATAATGATATTACGGTAATTATGAGTTTAATGTCAGTTGACCTTTTGCCCAAAAACTTGACACAACCGTCACCCCCAAGGGTCAGAAATTTAAATGAGCTGA